TTGAAATGTATAATAAACTAATTTTGAAATGAAAATGATTGGTTTTGAAATTGAAATGATGGATTTCAATATTAAAATGGATTTTTTTTAATAAGAATGACTACTTTGAAATAAAATAGACGCATTTTGAAATGTAATTGATAATTTTGAAATATATTTAATATACTTTTTGAAATCAAATAAAAGACTAATTTGTAATACAATTGACGCATTTTGAAATTGAATTGGTAATTTTGAAATATATTTGATAGTTTTTGAAATTAAATTGCCTTATTTATTGAAATACAACTGATAATTTTTCCAATCAACAACGAGGAAATATTACATGAAATTAATATCAACTTGATTCAGATTTCACCCGCATTGTCCAAAAAATATTGGAGTGTGTATTTAGATCTATGGATATACTGACCGACCATAAAAGTTCCGACGGGTGGTCCTACACACAGAAGTGAAAAGTAGGTTTCATTTGATTGCATATTACATGATTGACTCACACCCTGACACTGATATCATTTAATGGATCTTTCAATGTCAACTTACAATTAATCATTATTAGAACATTACAGAAGTCATTGAAGCGGTAGGAAATTGATAATTATTATCTCGTGATTAAAACGAAGAAACGGATTTATTTCGAAGGTTTTTCATGGAAGTTCGAACAGTCATTCGAATTATCTTCTTTTTTGTCAAGTGACGCCAAAATCTACAAATCATATCAACGATTCAACTGAAAACTCCACACATTTTTGACCAATTAAATTTCTGTATTCTGTATCGTTACAATAGCAACTGAACAATTTACGGAAATTTGTTTGTTCCTTGTGGTAATGACAGTGCCGGTTTTAGCAGTACCAGCGCCCTGGGCAAGAAATCGATGGCGCCCCGCCCTTACTGCAATTCAATTCCACAGGAGGCAATGGGTATAATGAAATATCGATTAATTTGAAATAATAACCATTTACCTATTTGGAAAAATTAATAGATTTCACTTGTCTAGCCTTTGTGGCAAACTTTTTTATTAGTCAAGTTATTTTCAGCAATTTCATCTTCGATTGACAAAGTTGCCCAGTTTGTCAATCTGGGTTGAGATATTGTCGATCGCAGATTGGTTTTTATCAGCTTAGACTCAGAAAAACTCATCTTTCCACTAGTAACCATTAGATTAGATTAGATTAGATTTGGAATGGGGCCTTCGGGCTATCTGCCTCCACACTGCGACCTTTTCAGATCTATTGTGTCTGCCCTCAAAATCAATTATCAATCAATCAATTCGGCTACTCCGCCTTCTCTATGAGACTCCATAGGCTAGCTTTCAGATCTCCTGTGTATCTCTGGGCTCCTGGTTTTCCCTCACCCAGCGTAAGGAATCTTAGTCTTGACAAGCCCTCACAGTGGCAAAGTATGTGTACTGCTGTTTCTTCCTCTTCTTGACAGAACCTGCACAGCAGTTCTTCAGTCAGACCTATCGTACTCATGTGTTTGTTGAGCCTACAATGCCCTGTGAGAAGTCCCACTAGTATTCTAGTTGAACTTCGTTTCAGTAACCATTACAGGTATATATAGTCAATAATATTCGCAATGCTATTCATACATTTGGATAAAGTTCATGGTTCTCGGTTGCGATCTTTGATAAAATTCAAAACATATGCAGGGAAACCAAATTCTGAATAGGTGAATTCATCACACAACATATACTTTGTCAAAGGTCGAGTTTTTTCGAAATCTGTTTAATATTGTACAAAAATACCAAGGTTTGTAGTACTCATTTAACTTCAAATCTTTCATTAATTGAAATCAATAAAAAATAAAACCTATACATTAAATTTTTTTCTGTAGAAGTTATGGGCACGTCGCGGGCAGTTTCATCAGCTTGACGCTCAACAACAAGTCGATATTTCAAAGGGTTCCGGAGATATATCGATTTATGATTACCACAGAGTACAGACAGACAGACAGACCACACACAAAAACCAAAGTTGCTCAAAATTCGATGGGGATCATTTTCTCCAAAGTAACTATACCTCTATCTCGGTTAGTTTCCGAGATAGCATTTTTGGCAAGGCCCTAGTATACTCCACTATATAGGTATAGCGTCGTTTAACAAGAGCAATCTTGTGGTATAGCCGTAGAAAATAGTATATAGTTCAACGAGCACGGAATGATAGTGATTTCCCACGAGAATGAAGTTTGCAGCATGAGCCGTAATAATAATAATAAACTCTATCTACAATAAAAATTCAGATAAATGGTAAACAATAATTATATTTCAACTAGTTATACACTATTTATCACCAAGTATAAAAAGTCAAGATATTTACATCATTTATCTATAGTTTTGGTAAATATACCTGATCTAATCTTTGGTAGAAGTCCATATTGCTCAAAGTGGAGTGAAATTTTTCAATGGAAGGAAGGAATGCTCGAAGTCATCTCTACAAATTTTAATGGTGTTGTTTCATAATCATAAGGGACTTGTTTTGGTCTTATAAAAGACCATCTGCAGCCTAATTGAAAGTTTTTGAGTTGAAAAATGTTGATATGCTACTAGTTGTGGAATTGTTGTCAATGCCCATAGTCGAAAAATCAAATTATGAATGAAAAAACGGGTTCTCAATGAAGGGCCTCGTGCCCTGAGAACGCATACCATTATTTTCCTTGGAATGGAGAACCCGTTTCCAATTCCACAACTAGTAGCAACAACATTTTTAAACTCCAAAACTTTCAATTAGGCTGAAGATGGTCTTTTATAAGACCGAAACATGTCCCTTATGATTATGTAACAACACCATTAAAATTTGTGGAGATGACTCCGAGCATTCCTTCCTTCCATTGATACCTGATATCTATATAGTTATTTTTTGAGTGAAAGTTTCTAGGTAGGTATATGTACCTATATCCGATATACTTTCTACATTTCTCAGTAGTTTATGATTATGAGAACTGTGTTCCAAATAAAGTACCTATAGCCACTTCTATAATGAATATATGATGAAAATTTTAGAAAAGCCAGAATCACAAAAGTGTTACAGGGCGGGTTATACTGTTATACATCGAAAAGGCACACCCCTATAATAACCTCTTTTTTTATCGAAAAAAAAAACAATATGCGGAAGTTGAATGCCGCAATGACACAGCCCTTATCAAAAGCTTTACAGAGTGATCCCCTTAAGCGTGACAATCCACAAATTATTTTTTTTTAATGGAACACCCTATTTTTTATAGTTTTTTCGGAATCTGTGTTTTTTGTGATCACAGAAATATATAAATACAGTACGATATTTCTCATTTTTACGTCATTATCACCACTTTTTTGATCCCAGAAAAACATTTTTTCACGTTGGCTTCTACAGATATCATGTTAGCCACAAATGAGGATTTATTTGACAGTTGTATCTTGAATCATTATAGAATTGATGAAATAAACCTCTGGTGTACGCACTTCAATCCTTTCCTGTTTTACAATTCCTTGATTTTCGCCTACTTCGATGAACATAACATGGCGTGGCTGAATGTCGCTAAATTTAGTCTGGTGCCGTACCAAAATTACAGGCATCAATGTGACAATTGTGACCGAATTGTGACCAATGAAGAGAGGAAATACATGTTGCGATTTAGCCGCATCAAGGTTGGTAGAACTGATGTTGATCATAAGTTCTAAGAATCACGCCATCTAACATTCGATATGTGAACCCCACGTCATCGTCTGAAATTCAATTGTTTATATCAAGAACCAGTCTGACGAAACAAATGAAGAGTGAGCGCACCAGAGGTTTATTTCATCAATATTATAGAATACATATTCCGAAACTAATCCAGTGATCACCAATTAATCAGACAACAATTGTTTTTCCAGGCTCAAATGAGTGGTGATAAAGAAGTGGAAATAGAAGATATCACCCTTTCTGTATGTATATTTCTTGTCATCACATAAATTCACAGATTCGGAAAAAAATATAAAAAATAGGGTGTTCCTTTTGAAAAAATGAATTTGTGGTTTGTCAAACGTTTAGGGATCACCCTGTAAAACTTCTGATAAGGGCTGTGGAAAGGCATCATTGCGGCATTCAACTTCCGCCTATAGTTTTTATTCTCGATGAAAAAATAACGGTCAATATGGAGTGGGCCTTTTCAATGAATAACCCTGTACATAAATAATTGTATGTAACAATTGGTAAAATTTTCTGTTTGAAAAAGTTAGGCATAAAAACTAACAGGAAATCTGTCAGAATAATTTAAATAAAAAAAACCTCTTGTTGAACCTTTTAGTAGGGGAGCCGAAAATTTCGATTGTCATCTGATAACAAAATGACTAGCAAAATGATATACTCATGTCCCAGAGGAATGAAAAATCATTGTATTTTTTCGAACAACACCTGTGCCAATCAAAATCAGATGACCCTCAAAATTCTCAGCCGACTCTTGGACTATTTGAAATGGGGTGTATTGTTTTTTCTTAGTACACTGTGGATATGATTCTGTTTACAAAATTGTATTTGAGTCAACAAATAACTCAAATATTTTTTGACATTTCTACACTCAGCATCATTAAAGATATAATATGAGCAAGTGTCTCCATTTCATTCCCCTAGTTATATCAAATATTGGTTAATTAGTATACACTAGCCTCTAACATATTATAATATCTGAACCACCCTTTTAACCCACTCATATAAGTAAACTTTTTTTTTTTCATTTTGAGAACCATCATTATTGTAGAAAGTACCTGAAGAATTCTCAACTCTCAATAATTAATCAACAGATTATCTAAGAATTATTTCCTATTAAATGATTCCATTGTCATCATTAAATCTCCTAAAAACTCAAACATTTGCACTATATTCAGTACTGTGATTGTCTAATATTTTCAGGATAGGAGCAGATTCATTGAAAAATACTCTCATAATAAAAAGGTACATTCTTCATGTAAATTTCATACTTATAACATTCATACTATAAAATTTAATAAAATAAAACAAAACACCCCTTAGTTAACAATCAACTAGCCAAAAGTGGCCCCACAATTTGAGCATCTTTTATCTTTCAAAAGCAAACAGCAAAGTATTCCAGCAGGGAAGAACAAAATGGCAAGTAACAAGCCTAAACATGTATAGTTATCTTCCAGTACTCCAATTCTGCAAGCTGGACAAGCACCAATAATGATAACCTCTGGTTCTGGAACGATTATTGTAGTAGTTCCATATGATGGATGTCTATAGATGTTTGGAGGGGGTGCTGTTGGTTGGTAGTAATCGTAGTGCTGATGAACACCTGAACAATGAATAGCATAAATGAATGCTATATGATGCTGGTCACATGCATGTCATAAAAGTCATTTGTGCCTTTACTACATTGCAAATGGAAGATGCATTCTAATTTCTAATTCCTATTTCTATAATCTCAAAGCAGAGCTCCAAGCTCTTCAATTTAAACAATTAAATAATCACCTGGAAGTGGTTGGCTGGAATATGGAGGAGGTGGATCCTTATTGAATTGCATGACTCAATAATTTCGCAAGATTCAATGAACTGTTGATAGTGTGAATAATACCTACAATAATTACGAAAAACTTTTGTGTTTCTGTTTATATTTTCGTGGCAGAATTTTTTATATTATTGTTTATTTACTTGAGATTTGACTAATGACAATGACAAATGACCGTGACAATTGATATGCTATTAGTTGCGTTTTATTTGTTCCATTCTGGTAGCGGTTGTGGGAACAGAATGACGTTTACAAATAAAACGGGAAAATGCATGAACTTGCATAAGAGAATTGACATTCCGAATTCAACTGGTCAGTACTGTCAGTAGATCCACTGACTTTGCTGAATGGCTGTGTTCCGAAATATAAAATCAAAAATAGTGTCATTCCTTTCCCTCCAAAAATAATGACAGTTCACTGAAGCCACACTACCTTTTGATAGTCAGCAATTTCAGCAGAATGTTGAGTCGAAATATTCGGAATGAATAGTATATCTGCTCACGAGTATGTCACTTTCAGTCAATTTTTTTGATTTCGGAATGAAAATTCAGCAGATTCGGTACTGTCAGTTGAATTCGGAATATAGCCATTACAGGTGATAGAGGTTATATTTATATATTGGGGCTCCAAATAATTTCAAAATCATAATACTAGAGTTAAGAATCTGAAAAATAAATAAACTAATATTTGGAGTAGTGATTGTGGAGAAACTTCTCTGAGGTCGAGAGGTTTCATTTTATCTGGGAATGAACATATGAAACCTGTTTACATATGAGAATCATGAACTTCTGAACCTCACGATAAAAAAGTATTCTTAATGTCTTCTACTTTCAAAAAGTTTTGTTTTTCGTCAATATAATTGAATTTTTGACAACTGCCAACATTATTGAAGTGATTCCGATGGCGGAATCGAATAAATAAAACGAAAATCATCAAGGCGTTGGAACTCCCTGTCGACCTAGAAATCGAATCGAGGTTGATATCTTCGAAGTCACAAACGCCCGGAGGAAGAAAGTATATGTTATTTGCCGTGGTCTACCACGTCGGCGATAAGGCAACCAGGGGCCACTATTTCACCGATGCCTTCCAAATGGAACATGCTGTTGGTTGCGCTTTGATTACGCCACCGTTAGGACAGTCACCGAAAGTCATGGTTATTTGAATTCTCGCAACTCGCACAAACAACCTGAACCGACTGAAACTGAAAGCTGAAACCATTTTTCATGGTTTTTCTATGCGTTCTATGACTTATATGTCATGAATCGTGCATGATGCATGATGTATGACTGTATGACATATGACGTTTATGTCTTGACACTGACTCCCCATTCCCATTTCCCCAAAAATTTTTATCCAAATTTGATCAAATGAAATTGATAAAAAATAAAAAACAATTCATGACATTTTTGTGATAGTAAAGTGCCTCCGTGAATGAACATTTATATCTATTAGTTTCCTTAATATGTCCAGTAGTTCTAGAATTCAATACAGAATGGTAAGTGATGAAAGTAACCAATATTCCAATATAATCTATTCTGTGTCCAATGTGCAATGATCCCATCATAGAAGAAAGACTCAAGATTATTCTCATGTAGAAAACAACTCAATACAGTACGGAAACTTATTTGTTGTTTTGGTATAAATATGGCGTTTTCATTACTTTCAGCATACCTACTTACCATTCTTTCCACCAATATACAAAATATTTGATTTGTTGTTGCTTTTGCCTACTAGTTCGAATTATTATCAAGTAATCCGCTGGGGAGACATTGGGGTATACCCTATTCAATGTTGAAATAATATAATATTATGTTTATTTCATCATTCCCTATTCTATGTAGGTAGTCCAAGGTGGATGTCAATTATGCATAATACCTTAATACCTATAGGAAGGAATTTCCAAGTAAATACTTAAAATAATAATTGATAAAATTATGCAGATTATGAGTACTAATATAGCTAGAGTCTAATAGCCACCCTAGATTCTGACTGGCACAGACACCCAGTATGCACATAATAGTTATTTATGCATGATCGGGCATCAAGTGGCACTTTATTGCCCGGGTTCGTGGTCGTAAAGGAGCACTTTAGCGCCTTAGGGCGGCAAAGGAGTACAGCTGGCGGTAATGTAGTCCGGCGGGCGGTCGGGCGGTAAAGTAATTTCACTGTTTTTCTAGTAAATAGTAAATTACTTTTAATTCTTTCTCCGCCAGTGGCATGCATAGTTTTTTATGTCCTTTAACAATTATTCTGAACATATCTATTTCCTTTGAAAATACCTTAATACTTCTCTCTTGTGTTTCTTGAAATTGGCAAAGAGTAGCTAAAATCATCCCAAACACAAACTACTGATAGCAGATATAAGTATTGCACACATATGTGGCAACATTGTCCATTTCACGAATTTTTATATTTAACTTGTTGCTGATACAGTGTTTCATCGCCCACTAGTTTTAATTTTACCAGCATTCAACATAACATTAATCAGCATAATCTTTTTCGCCTACCTGTCAATTCTTCAAAATGTTCATACAACGGCAAAATATAATCCAGGACATCAAAACTATGAAATTGTGGAAGCCAACTTTCATCCCAACCGTTAATTTTTTGTAGTTTCCATTCCATATCCAGGATTAGTATTCATTCAACATCGTATGAAAAATTTATATGTACAGTCGCATTCAAAAAAAACATACAAGTATACCGGGTGAGTCAAAAATGTGTACCGAGCTTTCTGGAGGTGGTAGTACATTGGAAAATGAGTATAGTTTGATGAATAAACTAATGGCCCAAAATGTATATATTAAGGGAGATGTATCCTTCCAAAGTTGATCAAATTAAAATAATTTTTCCATATCATATCATAATGTCTAAACGGTAAAAACCACCAGATTGATATATCCTGCATAAATGTATGTTGATAAGTTATGTTTTTCTGAAACACTTTTACATTTCTGAAATTGTTATTAAGGGTGTTTAAAGTGGGTGGGTCATGATATTTTGTAGACAACTTTTTTCCTCGTATTCTTTTTGGTGAAAAAATAGAAGCATTTGATAGAGCGACAAAAATTACATATAAACGGTACTCTTATCGGAACAAAAATTGTTACCGTTTTTGACATATTTGAGTTTTTGTAATGACATGAAATCAGCGGATAAATTCATTAGTAATAATATTTCAGGAGGCTTAGAACTTTTTGGCTGAACAATAATTCTATTTTTCATTCTAAAACATTTATTTCCACGCAATCTTTGCACAATACTCAATGAAACGCGTTAAGCGGGAAACGAATAACCAGTAATTTCTTACAATCCCAGTTGAAAATCGCAGAAATAATATCACTATGCAAAAAAACTGAACGAGGAAATTAACAATAACAATGTGACGTCATAAACATCAGAATTGAGAACAAAATTAGTCATGGCCTCATGTGTGGCATTGTGGCATCTAAAATATTGTCACCGATGAATTAATCTGCTGATTTCATCTAACTACAATGACACAAATATCTCGAAAACGGTGGAATTCTTCGTATTTTGATAAGAGTACATTTTTTATGTAATTTCCTTCTCTTTATCAAATGCTCCTCGAGGGGCAAACAACTCTCCACAAAAGTGTACACCATATTCAAAGTACGCGATATTTGTAAGTAGTGACAATATTTAGAAATTATTTCAAAGTAATTAATGTAATCAAGAAGTACTGAAGAGTAATTAAAAAGGATTTGAGAATTAATCAGAATACTTAAGATTCAAGATACTTTGAATGGAATTGAAAAGAATCTAATGATATTATGAAGTAATTTGAATTATATAATGAAGGAAACTCGGAGTTCAACATGAAATAGTATATTTACCGGAGCTATTGAACGTTCCAAAATTTGTAGTTGATATCATCAATTCACTATTTTTTCGAAGCTGAAAATAAAAAAAAAATTAAGCCAATTCTGTTGATTCGGAATGAGGTAATTTTGTGCATATGGAGGGTTGAAAGCATGACGAACAATATTATGGAGTTAGTTTTCTTGCAAAAAAAATCCTAATGTGATTTCATAATAAACGACCCCTTCATATTTCAATGAAAAAGGAGGGCACTGTCCAAAAGGCTGTTAGTCACTGAAAAACTGATCATATTGATGGTTATTCATATCGGAATCGTACTACTATAATAGCTGAGATAAAAGGGGGGGGGTGTTTAAAGAGGCATGCTGTATAAAATAGATTTCATTTTTGTACATCAGTGTTTAAGAGTTGATTTAGATGAATATTCATCAGTGAAGAAACATATTATGTAGTAACGAAAAAAGTATAAAACTGGAATTTATTGCGCCACTGCAAACCACTACTGTAATGTCTGTAATAGAGACTAGTAATCGGTGAGCCAGTTCAAAGAGTCCACTTACCGTCTACACAAAAACTCAAACACACCGTTTCGAATTTTCTTGTACTCATCGGGATTCTGGGATTCACTCAGTTACTATCGCGAAATTAGGCAGACGAGAAATGTGAACAACCCTGGGTCTCCTCAATACGAATTAAAAAATGATGTCGAGAGACTTCAAAATTATATGAAGTAATGAAAATAGAGTTACTGTACTGAAAAAGTAATTAAAATATCCTGAAAGTAATTAAAATATTTGAAAAGTAATTAAAATTTACTTAATAGTTATTTATGTATCAAGGGCTTATTGGCTACCCAATCACCTCCTCGCCTAATAGGTTTTTACGAGAGTTTTTATTTAGATTAACAATGCCCAATCCATTATAATCGTCCGACTTTAAACAAAAACTTCAGCCAACAATAATTTAATTATTAACTTGTGATACTTAGAAAGTACTTCATAATGCTTAGTTAACCTGTACTGGTTTATTTCTGAAAAAACAGCAAAAATGAGTTTTCAAAAAAACCTGATCCATTTAAAAAAATAATAATAACAAAAAGGCTGTTCTGAATGACCCCATTGGTTATACCATTTCGGAGTCTGTATTAAATGCGTAACTTTTTCTGATAGTCGGTCATCTTTGTGGGTTAGTTTTCAAATCTGTCAATAGTCGGTCATCTTTGTGGGTTAGTTTTCAAATCTGCCACTGCCAGTGTTATTAAAATATCAACTGAATCATTTCATTCAACAAAACCTGAGGAAAACATTGTTCTTGATAGGAAGTAAAACAGGTCATAAAAATTATTTCTAGGGAAAGGTGCTTCAATTCGCGATAGAAAATAAGCGTAAGCCACCTATCGGAGTTTTTCAAAGCTGTGAAAGCGGTATGTTTACTTTGTTTGCATTGGTTCACATTTGTTTTTTGTTTGTGCATATACAGGGCGCACCGAAAATAATCTAGAGGGTCGGGATCAATTTTTTCAATTGGAATGCCCAGTATATTTGCATATTTTTTGAAGCATCCTGTGATCTTCATCCACTCCTATAATATCGTTGACTATATCTCTTTCGTATCAAAGTTATGAATTTTTTGGTCGAAATAATGTCATCTGCAGATAAACTTTAAGAAAAAAAATTCCCAATATCATTTATTGAAAAGATGAGTGACATTTCTGAAAATGTTTTAGGCTCTCAAATGATACAGGGTGGCTGAAAATGATTTTTCAATTCGGAACTTTTCGAAGTGATTTTTCTCGAGTTTTTCAAATGGAACACCCCATTTATATTATTTGACCATTTGATGTAAAATCGAAACACGAACATATTAATTCGAACATCCATATCGATATTCGCAACCATTTTTGAATTCGAAAATTTTAGGTTGGCCATTTTCATCGATACACATTCTAATCTGTTATTGAAACATCAAAAGTTCAATCAACAATTTAGTAAACGAATTTTTTATTGAAAGAATCGATGTCAGAACCAAAGCAAACATGAATAGGTAATAATTATGCTGAATATTTACAGAGTAGAGACGGAAAAAATTTCATTTCTCAATTATTTTGGTTTTGCTTTCAATGTGCCATGAATTTATGGGATACTCGAGAAATGCAAATTTTGTCTCTTTTTACTTTGTGAATAACTAGCATATAAACTTTTTCTGTTTGCTTCGATTCTGGTATCGATTCTTTCTTTGAAAAAATTGGTTCACTAAATTAATAATTGGACTTTTGATGTTTTAATGACAGATAAGAATCTGAATCGATCAAAATCGCCAACCTATAATTTTCAAAGTTCAATAATTCAAAAATATATGGGGTGTTCCATTTGAAAAACTCGTAAAAAATCACTTCGAAAAGTTCCGAATTGAAAAATCATTTTCAGCCACCCTGTATCATTTGAGGGCCTGAAACATTTACAGAAATGTCACTCATCTTTTCAATGAATGATATTGAGATTATTTTTTCTTAAATTTTATAATTGTGACAACAGTGATATTTTCGGTAGGCATCTGCAGATGACATTATTTCGACAAAAAAATTCATAACTTTGATATGAACGAGATATAGTCAACGATATCATAGGAGTGGATGAAGGTCACAGGGATGCTTCAAAAAATATGAAAATATACAGGGCATTCCATTTAAAAAAATGATCTCGACCCTCTAGATTATTTTTGGTGCGCCCTGTATATGCGGCAATAATTTCTAGTTATGGACCTTGTTGTCTCATTCACATTCGTTTTTGAATCAGGTTTCTAGCTATCATAGATGTCGAGCAATCGAGTTCCGACGCACTAATGCAACACCCTGTATATTGTTAGTTTGATTCAAATAACCCCCCTACCATCTCACTTCTTTTGATCTATGAATTATGGGACACCCTGTATATTTATACTCTATCTCAGATCATGCTCAGATCATATTGGACATCTTTAATTTATATGGTATGACATGAAATGTGAAGAATGGGAACAAAAATTCAAAAAATTGTTTCTAATAATCTCTTATCTGATTAGTCACATACTCAATATAATTTCTGTGTTCCACAAGGAGAATCTAATGGATGATGCTCTGAATATACAAAAGTTGCTGCCATGGATTGAATCTGATGAAGATATCATTAACTTCATGAGACGAGTTCCACTAGATCACAGTCATTTGAGAAAGCAGCTGACAATCTATCACTTCTTGAAGAAACAAGATGAACAAGAACTCAATTTCCAACAACAAATTGAAGATGACGCCAGAGAAATTGTTATGATGTTGCCTGATGTGCCATACAAGGAGATAAAAGAACGTTTGTGTGTCCTAGGGAACATGACAAATCGTAAAGAAGTTGTCTTGAGACAGCTACTATTCAGCAATAAGGATATTGAAAGGGTGCTTTATGAGATGTATTTCGATTGCCGAAATAAAAGGAAATCAGACTCTTTGGTGGACCATGAAGATTTAAATAATAGTGAGACTAATATCAATATCAAGATAAGGCGGGTGCAAGGTACTCTGGAAGTAGTATCAAGGATAAAACAAGAGACAATTACCAGTCCACAGGTAACTACAAACTTGTGTTAATATGATAATTTTTCAATCATTGGTAGAAGTCCATGGTTTGTCAAAGTGAAGCAAAGTAGTAACTACCATTTTTCATTTTAGGCCTTCATATTCGATATACAGGGTGTCAAAGTTATGAATTTAAAACTGTTTTTTTTTATTACTTGCGTATTTAATAAGATATTAATCTCAAAATTGGAACATTACTTCAGCACAAAGAGTTACATCGTGTGAGGAAAACAAAACAGAAAATAACTGTCAAATATTCAAAATACTGGGGGTCAAGTACACACTTAGTCACTCACCCCCATTTTTTTTTGTACGTGCGCTAATGACTTCCTACCTATTTTTCTTCTAGTGTTCAATCATTTTTGAGTAATTTTTGTCTCTTGTAAAATTTCGTTAAAATCATTTGTTTTTAAGATAATTCGAAAAGTACTGATTATTGTTTGATGCCGATGCGGCTTACGGTAATCTCATAATGTTCACAATTTCGACGAAATAAATAGGAGAATTATTTCGTCGAAATTGGAAGAGGGCGTAACGTAAATATGGAAATATCGGGTGCTCAGAGCGAATGTAATAAAATGGTTTTTACAAAAAAAAAATTGATAGAAATTCAACACGTCTAAATAAATTGCTCGATATGACCTCCGATTTTTGAATACACATGCGAGCCCTTTTAATTGAGGAAAATCTTTGAAAAATATGTGTCTTATACACAAAATCTTCCATACATTCCCAGACAATCCTGATCTGCTATTTCTTTCATCAAGTAGCTATTAAAATTTAAAATCATGGATATCATAATTTCACCTAAAATTTCCGAAAATATTTTCTTTAAATTTTTTCCGAAAACAAATAGTTTCATCGAAATTTTACAAGAGACAATAAATACACAAAAATGATTGAACACTCGAATAAAAATAGATAGGAAGTCATTAGCGCACGTACAAAAAAAATATGGGAGTAAGTGTGTACTTGACCCCCAGTATTTTGAATATCTGACAGTTATTTTCTGTTTTGTTTTCCTCACACGATGTAACTCTTTGTGCTGAAGTAATGTACCAATCTCGAGATTAATATCTTATTAAATACGCGAGTAATTAAAAAAAAACAGTTTTTAATTTCCAACTTTGACACCCTGTATATCGAATATGAAGGGCTTAAATGAAAAATTGTATTTAGAAACTCATATTGTTTTTGTTCAAGGAATATTTGGTTAATGGATCGACCTCCTTTTAGCGGACAGCCTGTATATACCAATTGATTTGATCATTTGATCATATTAAAATGTCATGGAGATGATTTCGAGTATTATTCAGTAGTCAATAATTGCTTGTTTTAATCCTTGAAAAATATTTCACAAATGATGAAATTTCCACAAAATTCTTGGAAATTATTGAAGCCAATAAAATGGGCAGTGGGATGTTTCATTTTATCATATCAAAGAACATTATAGGGATTCCCTTTCGTGCGCTCCAAGCGATAAAAAAAAAGTACAAAAATTATCGAACTTGATAGGTACTTCTGATAACGTGAAAACGTGGGAAAATACTAAGTTGACCTTGACGACATACACCATGGCCATGACTAAATGAGATATAATAAATAATCCATTGTACCATCAAAATTAAAACATCTAAATATCACAACTTTCAAAAAAAGACGTTAAAAGTTGGCCTTTAGAAAATGCAAAAAATCGATGATATTTTTTAATCAACTTTATTTTAATTTATTCTCATGATTGTGTGAATTGATTATTTGGAAGTGAAATAATTCATCTCTGACACACAGGTCACTAACCTATGTGAAGGAGATACAATATGAAATATATTTATACAGGGTGGACCATTTTAATCTATTATGGATAATAGTTCTTTCCGGAAGACGCTAACAAAAAAATGGTTCCAACAAAAGTTGAAGGATTCAATGGGGGCCAAAGAATGACCCTACTCACCCCCCCCCCCCCCAGGCCCTGGGAGATGAAATGTTTTTTTTCCAATGGAAACCCTATTTTTTCACAACGGATTATTGTTCTACAGAGAAAAACATATTCAAAATGTCTCCAGCAAATTCTTTTTTGGGCCCCTTAAAGGGCCCCAAATTTTCAATTTTGGTATTTGAGTTGCAATAACTTTTAGGCTCAGGTCAAACCTATGTATTAAATATGATAACATAGGTGCAGTTCCAGCATATTACCATGTTTTTAAGCAAACCCTTAATCTGGTTAACGAATCACATGCCAATGAAGATTCTTTGTTTTCTTCAACTCAAATACCAAAATTAAATAAAAATTTTGGGCCCATTAAGAGGCCCAAAAAAGAATTTGCTAGAGACATTTTTTTTTGTTCTTCTCTGTAGAACAAGAATCCGTTGTGAAAAAATAGGGTCGTATGGGGGCCCTGGGGGGGGGGGGGTTATTGTGAGTAGGGTCATATTTTGGCCCCCATTGAATCCTTCAACTCTTGTTGGAACCATTTTTTTGTTAGCGGCTTCCGGAAGAACTATTATCCATAATAGATTAAAATGGTCCACCCTGCGCATACAGGGTGGGTCACGGTGGATGGCCTATTAGAAGTATCTGGAGAATGAAAAGACAGAACATTCTGAAAATTGAGATGCTTTGATAATTGAACATTCTCTATTTGTCTAAAATGTTTTTATCGATACAGTGTTGCCACTTCTATCAGAAACAACCAGCAACTTTGTCATTTCAAACGGAACACCCTGTATTTTATTGCATTTTTAGATTCTTCCTGAGGAGCTGATTTCATCGATGTATCATACTTGGGGTCAACCAGAAATGATTACAGAGATATAGGGTATTCAAAATCTAGATATTTCAACTTTAGGATTCTTTTGTGTCGAAACTATTCATTATTGATCAAAACGGCGTACATGTCCCTATTTTAACTTTTGATTCACTATCTACTGGAATTTAATTGGGAAAAAATACAGGGTGCTTCAAGATTCAGAATTCTGATCACCCTGTATCTGTTCCAATTAAATGTCAGTAGATAGTGGATCGAAAGTTACGATAGGGACATGTAAACCGTTTTGATCGATAATGAATAGTTTCGACACAAAAAAATCCCAAAATTGAAAAATCTTGATTTTGAACACCCTATATCTCTGTAATCATTCCCGCTAGACCCCGAGTGTGATGCATTGATTAAATCAGCTCTTTAGGAAGAATCTGAAAATGCAATGAAATACAGGGTGCTCCATTTAAAATAACGAAGTTCTACAGTTTATAGTAATATTATTCGTTCGATATTTTTCATGATATTCAATAACGACGCCAAGTTGTCTTATCCTATTTTTTTATTCGTTCTTTATTTGTTTTTCATTAGTTAGCCAGTTAGTCACAGTTTGCCGCCTTGAAAATCAGAAATTGCTTTATTTTATGAACATTCATCTAAAGGTAACTTCTAAATCTCATAGCTAAGAGATCTAGGATGAACAGAGTTGCCCCAATTGTCAGCAGGAGCGAGACAGTACTGTTTCGACCCACTAGGTCTCATCAGCCGCTCTCGGTCTGCTGACAACTGGGACAACTCTACGCTTCGGGTATATCACCTATTTCGAAGACGCAGGGTATAACATGAAGTTGTAGTCATGTTGTAGCCATCTTGTGGCAAAGCTCTAAGGTAGGATACATATATCGCGACACACACTGTATGGCGCCATGTTGTAGCCATCTTGTGGCAAAGCTCTAAGGTAGGATACATATATCGCGACACACACTGTATGGCGCTGCCATCTATAGTCACACGTACAGACCCCTACGTCTATACGCTACAGAGTGGTACTACAAGTAGATCACTCTGCTGACAGATGGCGCTACCTGACATACTCGAGTGGAATTTTTCCACCACCTATTCTTGAATAGGGCATAACATGACTACAACTTCATGTTATACCCTGCGTCTTCGAAATGGGTGATATACCCGAAGCGTAGAGTTGTCCCAGTTGTCAGTAGACCGAGAGCGGCTGATGAGACCTGGTGGGTCGAAACAGTACTGTCTCGCTCCTGCTGACAATTGGGACAACTCTGTTCATCCTAGATCTCTTAGTTTTGAGATTTAGCAGTTGAATAGGTGGTGGAAAAATTCCACTCAAGTATGTCAGGTAGTGCCATCTGTCAGCAGAGTGATTTACTTGTAGTGCCACTCTGTAGCGTATAGACGTAGGGGTCTGCACGTGTGACTATAGATGGCAGCGCCATACAGTGTCTGTCGCGATATCTGTATCCCTACCTTAGAGCTTTGCCACAAGATGGCTACAACATGACTACAACTTCATGTTATACCCTGCGTAAAGGTAACTTTCCCCTTAAAGTTGTTTTTGTAGTAGAAGATTGACAGAAGTACAAGTTATCAACCTCAAACATAAAATGTTCCGTCTTCCACGGAGTGGATCTTTTAGAAAAAATTATTTTGAAATGTTATTTTGAAATTAGCAATATTCAACTAAGGACCACCTTGTAGATAGATCGACAGGTTATCTCTATCAATTTCTTCGAAATCGAAGCCTACAAGACGTAGTTGCGTTTTTCTTCACAAAACTAAAAAAGAAACCTGAATAACCTTGAAAATTCATTCAGTTTTTTGTCATTGCTGTTCCGAACATTTGTGCCAGTTTTGTTTTACGTGTTTTGTAGTATGTAAGAGTTTTAAATTTGTGAGATAATAATATTATCAATCATTGTCCATGTGGTATTGGTATGTTTATAATTTCTAATTAAACAATGCACTGTTGTTATTTGAATTGAAAATCTCAATAAGAATTCAGTCAGAAAATGCACATCATTGCATTTTCATGCATACTACTCGACTACTCTAATAATTTCAGCTATTGATTGCGTTTTCGTCAGTTATCTTCCTATTATTTGAATCATCTCCAAAGATTTTTTAAATTTCTCAGGTGTTATGAAATGAGTTGAAGGCGAGAAAATCTGTATTGTTAATTATTTCGAGTGGGGAATTAGATATAAAATGTCACACCTAGGGAAATAATCGTAAATAATAAATATTAAATTGATGTCAACTAATGAAATTAGTCTGATATTATTAAGTGTTCAAACACTGAAACAGAGCATCCGAAAATTTTGTTTGATATCGATTAGTTGTAGTTTTCGTTTATGTGAACTGATTTGAATTTTCATTACTAGGAATGATACCTCAATCTACTAGCTTTTGTCATACTATATTCAGAGCTATATTGATTTCATCTGATTAGTCATTACAACTTACATCATAACATCCTCAGTATGGAAATTCAAATTACTACTAAATAGGGATAAAGGATTCCCTGGATAGATCATTATATACACAGGGTGAGTCAGGACTTCAATAGTCCGAAGAAGACATTTTTTAAGATGAAATTCTCATGAAAACATATATACACATGAAAGCTTCATTTCTGATATACAGACATTGTCAACGTTCTGATTTTCTCCAGTTTTTAAAGTTTTGGCACTGTACGGAATGCTCTAAATGGTTTCAAATTGTTGAAATCCAAATTAAGTGGTAGGAATTTTGAAAGTCATCGTAATTTTCAATAACTTCTCCATTGAGTAGGAAGAACAAAATACACATATAAGAACCCCTATTTTCAGCCCAGAACTGATTCTAGTCCTCAGAAAAATCAAGAAATGCCTACTAACAAAGATCTACAACTACCTCATTCCTCTACAGCTTCAGTAGTGTTGAAAACAAGTAATCAAAAACCATGTACGGCGGTGTGTTCAACAACAAGACCTGGTAAAGGTAGGATGATTCTCAACACTTATATTATTAGAACATTAATTTTTGAAGGAAAGGAAGCAAGTTATTTTGTTTTTCTAATATTGACACGTAGTTTGACACTTTTCAAAACTGACAGAAGCTGTGAAACGTGTTACTTCACGTTACCAGTTGTGTAAAGTAAAATATTACATAACTAGTGATGTTCACGAATGTTCTTTTCAACGCCAATTCTGCAATAAAAGTATGGATGGACGAAGAGAATAGTACATTTTGTGCTGCTTTTCCGATAGCACTTGGGAAATCTGAACTGGAATGTGAATTTCGTCGCTGATTTTTACCATATTATTGTTCGACTGGTCATTATATCTGTCAAAGCTAAATTTGCCACCATAATTAGAAAAAATATTGTACTGGGTGTACCACTACGAAAGGACGCCGGCTGTATCTCGGAAACTATTTGCCGCACAGGTTAAAAAAAAATATGAATGATGAAAGTGGCCAAGATAAATCTCTGGAAATTATTTTCAAGTTTCCAGGACAGCCGCTAGTGGGCGTAATTGCATTGGCCAGTTTAATAAACGGGTTTTTATGAATATTTGATATATCAAGACATATCAAAAACACTTTTTTCATGTTCTTGAGTTGACTTCCAATCATTTCGATCAAAAAAACCTGCTCTAGCTCTTTAAATAATAGAGGGAAGGAAGGATGAATAGTACATTGAAAAAACTCCCATTACTACAGTTTGGTGTAACGGATTTCAACGATCTCGGTCTCATTATGAAGGGTTTTTTTAGTTCTTTCAGATGAATCACGAATCAAGTCGATTTAAATCCTGTGGTGGCCGCTAGACGGCATCGTTTGAAGAATCAGACAATTTTCCATTTTTTTCGAGAATTTCAAATGGAACCATTATGGGAACCATATATTTATTCTACTCTAATATGAAAGTAGGGCAAACGAGAAGAAGAATAGTGGAAACCGCGAATTGATACCTCTTGAGAAACCGGTGAAATACTCGAAATAATATTATGAAAATATTGACCACAGGAATCTAACTTCAATAATCGTAATCAGAAATATTCTGTATCTGTGAAGTTATATCTACAATAGTGCAGGAGACTCCTAGTAATGACATAGAATGACATAGCTAATTGAAATGTAAGTATATAGTGAGTAGGCTCAGGAATGAGAAAAGGCAAGTTGGCTTCGAAGGAAAGGAACGTCAAAATATAATAATTGAAGTTCTATTGGAAGTTTTCACTGTTCATTGTGGATTGCTTTCTTGTCAAAATGCCGATATCGAATGAGGAGGCATTTGACATGCTAGCAGTTTAAATTTTAATAATATTATGCCAAGTATTTCTCCGGTTCTTCGAGAGGTATCAACTCGCGGTTTTCACTATTTTTCTTCTCGTTTACTTTACTTTCATATTATAGCAGGAAAAATATATGGTTCCATTTGAAATTCTCGGAAAAAAATGACAAATTGGCTGATTTTTCAAACGATGCCATCTAGCGGCCACCACGGGATTTAAATCGACTTGATTCGTGATTTATCTGGAAGATCTGAAAAACCCTTCATAATGAGACCAAGATCATTGAATTCTGTTACACCAAACTGTAGTAATAAGAGTTTTTCCAAAGTACTATCTCTCTACCTCGCTCTTTTATTTAAAGAGGTAGCGCAATTTTTTTATCGAAATGAACTGGAGAATATGGAGAAAGTGTTTTTGATATGTCTTGATATATTTTTCAAATTGGCCAATGCAATTATGCCCTCTAGCGGCTGTCCTGGAAACTTGAAAATAATTTCATGAATATTTTTTTCCGAAACCTGTGCGGCAAATAGCTTCCGAGATACAGCCGGCGTCTTTTTAGGAAACGCGTTTAGTGTAACTCTGTGTTTTGACACGAAATGACGCGTTTCCTATCTAGTTACATAAATATCTATTTCATATTGACTTATTTTCACAGACATTTACAAACTGCTGAATAGTAATGAAGAACATGTATCCAGAAGCAATATCTCTGAATTGAAGGGTAAGTCTTCAACTGATCATACAAATTAAAACTCAATTTCCATTTAATTTCAGAATTATTGCCAAATCCTGTCCAAGAAGTTAAAAAAACAAAAAATGATATGGATTCTGCTGATGGTATGGCATTTACAAAAAAAAATTCAGAAATCCTAACCGATTTATATTTTTTTCTGGTTTTATTTATTTTCTTCAGCAAAATTGAGATTTTGGTTTATTAGAATTCATCATCTAAATTCTTCATTTCAATATATTAACTATCAACATGACTGTAGAAAAACGAACTCAGCCTCGCACTAATATTAATTTACCATTATTTTCTGTTTCAGTATCATTAGTGCCAACTATCGATTTGCTCAATAATAATAGTAAGTGAATTATTCATCGATCTTCTTTAACTATTTTCCGATTAGCCATTTATTCAGATTAGCTCTATTTATACCAGTCAAATCATGAATATACAGGCTGACTGACAAAAAATGCGCCAAGCCATAGCGCCGGTACTAATTATCCGATTTTGTTAAACAAAAAAGCAAATGGAATTATTCATCAAAAACTCAATAGGCTCTGGACAACTTTTTTCTTTTCAAATGGCAATTTGTTTTTTCTTTTTTAATTATTATCTAATTTATAATGTTCAAAGAATATCGTGCGTTCCTAGGGAGGATTGGGACAGGAGGTAGGTATTGGAATTTCTTTTAAACTTCTGGAGATTATATGTTGTTGGGAATACTTCCTCAAGCAATGAATTCCAGAGCCTAGCCGTTGATCAGAAATAGTTATTTTCATAAAATTTTGAGACATTTTATTGAATGTGACAATAAATGGCAATGAAATGAATGTCATTGTTTCATTATTTCGACACTGCATGTGGTGTTACATGTTAAAAACCGGTCATCGATATGTTGAACACACAATTGTTTCGTTAGTAGTCAGATAATCTTCCATTTCTACTCATGAAGCAAGGTTGTCAAGTCACTAATTATAAGTCCTGTCGTTGAATAGAACATAATAGGAGGAACCCATGATGTTTTAATTCATTCTTGACTTTTTGGAGCAACCAGCATGTACAAATATTTCTCATTCTCCGTACCAAAATATCATGTGAATGTTGCAGACTTGGCAACATTGTGCTGAATGCTGAGAACTGACAAGACCACGCCGTGGTTGTTACGTTCACCCATATTGTATATGGCTCATCGCCTATACCATATCCCAACAAAAATGGTGCCAAAATGAGAGGGACTTTTTGAATCTATAAGGACGGAAAGTGATGGATGGAAGCAGCCATATTGGTTTGACGAGTTTCGTATATTATTGCAATAGTTGCTGATGTTACAAAATGATCAGAGCCTACTAATAGTATCTCATGAGTCATTTCATTTTCATTTTTGTCTTTCAAAATCGGATTATTAGTAGCAGCGCTATGGCTTGCAGTGTGTTTTGTCAGTCAGTCTGTATTATGCATCCACTGAGTAAAATTGTATCAACTGAGTAAAATTTCGAATTTCAAGTACAAATGATTGACAGATGGGTAGATTGTAGCAATGGAGGCTAACATTTCCAATCTCACCAGTTGGCGCTACTAAGGGTATGTTCCGTAAATCAACTTGGTTATTTCGGTTAGTAGTGTTCCGTTCCGTAAATAGGAAATGTTCGGTTGGTTCTTGAAAAAAGGTTATTTACGGAACATGGTTGCTGAAAGAGCGATAATTTCACTGTCACGAGAACGACCGTGGATTTTCTCTGGTGAGTTCGATGAGTGTTTTAGTTTTCGGTTTGATTTTTCGATTCACAAATGACAACAGAAAACAATATCCACGTTATAATTATTAGGCATTCCAGAACACGTGACTTCTGACATATTTCTAATGGCCGCCTGTAGGCACACAAGTATTTTTTGTTGATTTACGTAGCAGCAGTATAATCTTTGGTAGATATATCAAATAATAATAATGGCTGTTTTGAATAAAAGTGGATATTTATTATCCTTGGACCGCTATAACAAAGATATTGCGACACGAAAGTATGTGTGCCTACAGTCGGCCATATTGATTTAGATGGTTTGACAGCATCTTGGATAGGTCAATTGCGTTGAGTTCCGATGGATTGGTTTACTGAGATAAATTGATAATATTCGATACTTTTTCAGTTTGATGACGTTCTTTCTATTGCAGGACACTACATGCTTGTGCTTACTGTGAAAATCAAATACTGGCAGAGCATGAATGTTTAAAATTGAAAAAATGATCAAAACTATAAGATTACAAATGACTGGCATTTCGTAAATAATCCACAACCGTGGTCACCAGTAGATAACCACTGTCGAAATTGTTGGTACCGGCCCTGAATGAATCGGTAACCTCGGTTGATCAACGGAACATATCCTAAAACGTATGGTCAATGTCAAAGTAAAAAATCCCAAAATTTTGCCGGATAGCCCTAATAAGGCTATGGTCTGTAGTATCGTATTGTATTCGAAAATTATTATGTAGAACATTTGGACAAATAAAAAACCTCAAGTTATGAAAGACTTGAGCAGACTTACGTTTGTTTACTCTCAATGTGGAACTTTACAAACGATTTTCACATTAGGTTTGTTCTCGTTCGAAAAATAAACAGTCTGAAACCATCAGGAGCATGCGCAGGGTCATAGAACTGTTGGTATTTTTCAAGTTCCGTAGAACTGCGCATGCTTCTGATGGTTTCGGACTGTTTATTTTTCGAAGGAGAACAAACCTAATCACCGAGAAGAAGATATCGTTGGAAGAGGCCAAATCACAGGAAAAGAGGAAGTACATTTATCAGTTCTACCAACTCTGACCTCACGACTTCCGACCACGGTGGAAGACATGTTGATGTTTTTGTGATTGTGAGTTTGAAACGCTAAAAGAGCACAATACCTGGTATCACTTCCAGTGAGACATCCAGGGTTCTCGAAAAACAAAACCGTTATTATTTACGCTGGTATCCAGGCCGGATGGGGACGGATTCTCCGTAATAAGGGCTCTGACTGTATGTCGTAAGACAAGAGGCCATATATTCAGAGAAAGAGAGAGAGAAAGAACTCTAACTCTGACCTCACGTATCAGTGGGGCGATGTGGTGGACAATAAATAATGTTAGCTCACATTGCCATCAAAAATGTTACAAAAAATGAAGGAACTGAACTAATGTTTCTTATCAAAATCTTGTTTTTTCAGTACCAAAACGAGAGAAATTCGATTTGGTTCAATATCTGAAAGAAATTACCCAAGCCGATGAGAAGAGAGTGAAGTCAATCTGTCAAAGGTACAACGCCTCATTGGACACCAAACCTGAAATTCGGCTATTAAACCAAATATTGAATGCGTTTATGGACGATGATGATGATGAAGATGATTTCATATTGCTGGATGATAGTAGAGTGGATATCTCTGATAGTGAAGACAGAATGTTAAGTGGTGAGCAATGATATGTCTATAATTTTTTTCGTTTCATTGATAATTTTCAATGGACAACCAATTTAGTCTGGCAGTTGGATGAATACATACAGGGTGTTTTGGAGTTATGGTGACAAAAGCCTAGGGAACATTCCTTTCCACAAAATGTGAAAAAGAGTTTATATGAACATGGGTCCGAAAATTCAAATGAATTTTTTATCAATGTCTTGAAAACGCTTCAGCCGATTCAGATGAAATTCTCATGGTTTATTTTCACAATTATCAGACATTTACTGGACCAATTGGATTTGATCCAGAATATTATTCAAAAACAAAAAATACAAAAAATTTAATATCCTCTCTAAAATGTATATGATCTTCAAATTTTGTGAGAAATATGTTTAAAAGATATTAATGAAAAACTTTTTTTTAACTACCACAGCCCATAATTTTCAATATAGATTAATTAAATATACAGACTTGATAAAATGTTTAGGTCTCTATATTGATGAAAAATTATTATGGACTAAAATATAGACCATTTTAGAAATAAAATGAATCCGATCACAGGCATATTATTCAAAATCCGATATATCATTCCCATAAAATACTTGGAATGTATTAATTTTGCTTCAATTATTCAAATTTGCGATATTTAATTTCTATTCAGGTAGAGTACAAATATATCACGCCTAAAACCACTAATGAAATCACAAAACAAATCAATTGAATGCATTTTTCATCTACATTTTCTAGAACCAACGGTAAATGTATACAAACCTAGACATTTTCTGAATCTTATTTCATTATATAAACTTAAAATATGTTGTTTTATCCATTTTGCCAGGAATAAATTGAAAATATCAAAATCAGCTTTTAATGAAGTCAATACAGTCCATAGTAATGCGACTAGACAATTGAATTACTTGATAGCAAATACATTCAAGTCGAGCATTGGCAAACAATCTGTATTTCACATTGGAATAATTCCATACAATTCATTACGAATTGAGTTGAAAAATATACATGATATACTTAAGAAGGTTTAAAAATCAATCCCAAAAAATACTTGCTCAGGACAATTTGAATGAAAAATATGTGGCATTATTTGATTACTCAAAAATGAAATGTTATAACTCATCTCAAGAAACAATATTAATTTGTTTCCACTGAGTAGAATTCATTAATTAACCCTTCATTATATTTTTTTATGTATTCATGTATCCCTATTATAAATAGAAATGTTTCTTGGGGTAATAAAGACAATCAATCAATATCTCGGCAACAAAGCATTTTCGGACCCATGTTCATGTGAACTTTTTTTCATATTTCATTGAGAGGATTCATTTTAGTTGATATACTGTTACGTGATTCGTGGACAGAAATGAACACTTCCACTATTTATTTATGAACTGATCTATTTATCTCGAAAGAACACTTATTTATTAATCTTTGGAAGAAGTCCATGGATACCCAAAGTGGATTGGTGTAGTTTATAGACAAAAACCCGAAGTCATCTCCACAAATTTCATTAGAGTGATCAAAGATCAATCGTGAAGGAACATTTTTCGGGCTTATATAAGCCCATCATCAGCCAATAGAAAGTATCATAGTTATGGAAATGAAAAAAGTAGGCATAGGTACAAATAGTATAGTTAATAACAGGGCAAACAGGGAAATATGCTCCATGATTGTCTCTGTAAAATTATATAAATGTATTATGTTATAAACTTGTCGGTTAAGGGTCGGATTCATATTTTACAAGGGCCCACGTGCCCTTGAATTACCGAAAGGTGATAATTGAACTTAGTTTGATTTTTCTTTGGGGTTTTCTAACTAATACTAGAGTCCCTTGATGGAAATTGACGTTAAATTCATCTAAACAGGGTACGGACAGATCCTGGTCTCCTCTCACTCCAAAGTGGTTGTGAAACAGTTATATAGTTCCATCCTTATTCAATCTTATTCAACCTCGATGTGGGTATCTGAACTACTGTACATACTCATGTCATGTGTGCCAAATATACTTTCGGATATCCAACATTCACATCAGGAAATAAATATCATTAGATAAAGTACATGGATTTTGAATCTGATACATTCCTGAATAATATTTTCAACGTTTGTAACTGGATTGCTACATATCCGCTTTCGTTCCGAATAGTGGTTCTTCCAGTAGGTATCTTTCACATTTTCAATTACGTGGGTTATATTGAGGACCTTGAAGGCCAAGGCCAAACAATATGCTGCTCGGATCTGAAACTAAGTATCAATTTCAAATTTGAATCATGAGACCTACATACAATATAAATCTATGAAAAGTCTGGATATTGTTTTCAACATTCGTAACTGGAACGCGATATATTTTTGTAATTCATCAATTCATCAACTATCTCAATGAAGACGAGACAGGCAGATAAACAACAATTTTCTCTGCAATGAAGAACACTGTATATACCTAACCCACCATGCGTCTACCTCCTTTGCAGAGAGGGTTTATAAACGCCGAGTTGATACTCTCCCCTCGTAAGGGTACCTGTCGTGTTTCCATAGAGACATAAAGCTGAATATATGTCTATCTGTCTGCTTGGGAATCTGGAAAGGTAGTCAATATATCGCCTTCCGTATGAATATAATGATCTGAATTCTGTAGAGAATACTCTGGTCAGTTCTCTTTGCGGATCTTCTGTCCGGTCCGTATTTACTGAATGATTTTCTCCGATTGAGTGGCAAGTATCAAACACTGCTTCTTGGATCTGCAACTAAACATAACATTTAAATCGAAGTACATTTATAGTTAGTTTATAGACAAAAACCCAAAGTCATCTCCACAACATTCATTAGAATGATCAAAGATCAATCGTAAAGGAACATTTCTCGGGCTTATATAAGCCCATCATCAGCCATTAGAAAGTATCATAGTTATGGAAATGAAAAAAGTAGGCATAGGTACAAATAGTATATTAATAACAAGGCAAACAGGGAAATATGCTCCATGATTGTCTCTGTAAAATTATATAAATGGATTATGTTATAAACTTGTCGGTTAAGGGTCGGGTTCATATTTTACAAGTGCCCACGTGCCCTTGAATTACCGAAAGGTGATAATTGAACTTGGTTTGATTTTTCTTTGGGCTTTTCATCTATGAACATAATTACTGACTCATCACTACTATTTATTTGGAACGTTTTAAAACACACCCTACTATGTTCTACGCTTGTAAGGTGAAAATTTCAGTGTATTTATCGCCTTTTCTGATGATAGTTAAAGAATAATGTACTCAATATAATGCGATCATGAATTTTTAATTTGAATTTGAATCAGATGTTCCATAAATTATAAGTAACTATTTTATTTTCAGATTTAGTCATGCCAGTAAATGGGTAAGTTATTCCAGCTTCATAATTATTATTTATTTTTCAATTGCATTTCCTCGTTGGACCCAGCACTGGATCCAACGCCCCATAAGTCGAAACTTGTGCGGGGTTAGGAAAGCATTAATTTGCAAACATCCATGGTCAACTGGGATTCGAACCCATGCCTCGGTGGGATTCCCCATACGAACTCAGCGCCTTCGCGCTCTCGACCACCGGGCCGCCGGTGATATCAAAGACAATACAAGTCATTTTTTGTAGTCTTCATTCATTTTATATTTCACTTCACAGTACTTTATCTCTAATATCAGAATCACTGTTGAAGATACTAAATATGTTTCTATCATTTGAACTGATTTTCAATCGATTGATTTATTGATTGATTAATTGTCTTTATTAACCAAAAAATATTACTGTTCATAAAAGGGCTACAGTGTGAATGAATAATTGCGGAAAATTTCAGGGGGATATTCCCTGTTGAGAATTTAAAAATCATACGCCTTCTCTTAATATTTCTTCATCCGATACATGTTTTGTAAAAACAATCACTTGGGTTAATATAATAATATTAATATTAACACAAATGTATTATAAACAATAAGCCACAACTGATGAGGGAATGTTTTGAGACAATTGATTTTCATGTCTAATTAGGAATATAACCAATACAAAATTGAGAATAATATCTAATATTTCCTAAGTTCCAATCGTATTACAACATATGGCAACTGTGCTATGGTCTGTCCCCACTTACAAAATCGTGACGTAATTTTTTACTCGCGGTAAATTTTTAGCCGTTTGAAAATTACCGTGGCATTATTGTTGATCTCAGCACCTTAAAATCGAATGAATAATTCTAAAAATATATGAAATTGAAAGGTATTTGAGTGATATTCTATCTAAGAAATAAAGAAAAATAATCAACTCGCCTATTTCATTTTTGTGGATGGTTCCATGGCTGTTAGCAAACAGTGTATATCACTGAAGATGACTCCACTTGATCATAGTGTGTAATTTCAGTATACAGGGTGATTCACATAAGAACCGACGTAGAGCAGGGGCATGTAGGGGGTCCCAAAATATGGCAATTCAACGCAACTTACCTCTATACCAAGTTGCTTCCCTAAGGAGATATAGACTTTGAAAGTGAAGTTATAAATTTCGAAAAAAATCAATATCTTCATTATTCTTGAACTTGAAGCAACCAAATTTGGTACACTTTGTGGATGTATCTAGAGCGTTACTTGACAGTAACTAGAGTTTAATTGAAATTTGTAAAGGCGCAATTAATATTCAACATAATTTTGTTAACACTTGATGGATTTCAAAAATCTTTGCTTTGTTTTGTGGGCAATTCAATTCTAAAACTTTTCTTACTCTAGTAATTTTTCGAAAAACCTCATAATTTTCATCAAAAACTCGAATAACTGAAAACGCGCGCTCTAGGTGTGTTATTTGAAATCATCGAAAATTCAAAAGTTGGCTATGAAAATAAACGTCAAACTTGACAATGAGGCAAGTGAGTTGTTCAATTAAGTAATTGTTGTTTGAGTGTATTTAAAATGAACGGGAAGTTTTCTTTTAACGAGCAAGTTGACATGCTGTTAGTGCTATGCCTATAACTCCTTAGGGAAGTAACTTGGTATAGAGGTAAGTTGCGTTGAATTGCCATATTTTGGGACCCCCTACATGCCCCTGCCCTATGTCGGTTGTTATGTGAATCACCCTGTATATATACCGTTCTTGCAAATTTCAGAATCCTAACTAAACATATACGAAAGATACAGGGATACTTCCATTAAAAGTGAGACATACTGTGCAATGTTCATCTTGAGTCAATTCTGATCTTCATATCTCTTCATCTGAAGTTTCATCTTCAAAATGAGTCTAAGATTTTGAAAATCGGTTGGGAAGGAAAAAAGTTATGACTGCAAAACCTAAAAGTTAATTTTTTTCTGTGACGGGAAAAAAGTTTGGCATTTCATCTCTGTTGGCAGGTTATAAAATGTCACTTTTCATGAATTACTTTTTTCCCGTGGGAAAAAAGTGAGTACTTTTATTTTGAAATTGACACCTCTTGATATACACACGGACTTTGTAACGTCTTCCGCGTAGTTGTCGTGACGTCATCGATTATTTTTTTAAATGGAAACATCCCCTTTTCATTTCTTTTTTCGGAAGGTATATTCATTGTCTAACCAACCATATACTGATATTAGCAAAATAAAGTAATTCAGGGCGAGAGAATATTATTAATTATTTTATATTCACAACGGAAACAATTACAATAAATGGAAAATTCGACCTGTATACATCAGAAACAATGTATATAGTGATTGATGAGGCTTGAGGTGACATTTGTGACATTAAATAAAACTATTCAGCATATTCTCTAGTAAGATGAGGCTCATAGAAAGAATAATTAATAATTTTTTCTCACCCTGTATTACTTTATTCCGCTTATAATAGTATATGGTTGGATAGACAATGAATATACCTCCCGAAAAAAGAAATGAAAAATTTTAATAAAATAATCGATGACGTCACCACAACTACGCGGATGACGTCACAAACTCCGTATGTATATCAAGAGGTGTCAATTTGAAAATAAAAATCGACCTGTCTCAGTTTTTTTCAAATTCATATGCGTTAGAGATAATCAATTTATTCCATACATTTCCACCAAACTGTATATTTACACTGTTGATGGCTTTTGTTGTGGTATAGTTCCGAAAAATAAGTCAATAATACCCGTCTTCAAGAAAGAACTGCAAGTCCTTTCATCTTCCATTCGACTTCGCGGTTATGTATATTACTAAACAACCACTAAATTAGCAATTGTTTGAAATCAAATCACAGGATTAGACTGACAGAAGTGACTTAAAATGTCACGTCGATAATTTTCAGATTCCCAAATAATGTAATATATTCTCAATATTGATTGGTCCTTTCTTCTGTCACAGAAAAAAATACTGTATTATACACGAGAAAAATATTAGATTTTAGTTCACGGTTTTTTGTCTCCCTCCACTACGCGTCGCAACACAACCTGGAGCTAAAATCTACTACTTTTTTCCCTTGTATAATAAATAACTATTTCGATATCACTCTGTAATTAAAAGGGATTATGAGACAATTCGAAAAATGTCTCAAGGTAATCTGCTGTCAAAGTTGAAAAAAAAAGTTTTCGTTCATTTGGGATCCTTTTGAAAATTCAAAAATTTTTCACAGTTTCAGGTGACACCCTGTAGCGAGTTTATATGAAGAACCTCATGTTTTAAAGATGTACGAGCTTATAGCTGAAGGACTGGGCTAGCGAACAGTGTGAACCAAATTCAAATTGGTCAAAGCAGAAAAAAAGTTATTCATATTTCAACAGGGGGTTCAAATTTTATGACTAATTACCTTATCCAGGAATGCGGGCTGGATATAAATATAATATACCATAGGAAATTATACAATTAGTACAGGGTATTTCGAGACGAATTTCCAATCTGAGTATATGGATAATAATAAGAGTTTGACAATTCGTGTGTGACCATTTCAAAGAAATTTTGACGACTTCGACTCTGTGAAAATTCAAAATTGGCAGTTGCGCTACCTAGGCTATCACAGTCAGCGATACGGATTGACAAATTTTTTTCGGGTTTGTTCTAATCGCATGCATTTCTCACAAAAAATACGTATATGTATATGAAAATGAATCAAAGGAGTACCTACTCTAAGATTTCTAGATGTATCGAGTGGTATCGGCTCAAAATACCTATCAGATTATACTATCACTCATAAAAAAAAAATGTAAAAAACTCACCAGCGTGAAAAATGTAAAAAATTATTTCCACAGCACGAAACACCAGTACAACACATGATCGCGATACGAATTATTGGATGAGTAATACAAAAACACATAACTATCACTCATTTTTTAGGGAACACTTCCTTTCGCGTATTTTTCAATGTCGATCACAAAATTCGACCGTACATGATGACATCTAATATAAAACTGTCTTGATTTACCACCTGGTCCCGAATGAATGACTAATGAGTTGAATCATGCTAACCGATTAATTTCCGAACAAATGATTTATCTATGACTAATTATGATAATGGAATTATATAGGGGGCAATCCATGATTAATGATGATGAAATTATACGGGGGAAAAGATAGTTCACCTAATCAAGCTCTAATTAAGTTGAAATTTGAGGACTGGTTAGTTTTTTTAAATAAAATTGGATTTTGAATTAAGAGTTCAATAAAAATTCTATTCTTCAAATTGGATGCGCAGTCATTGCGCACTGTTGAAAATAGACCATTTCATTGATTTCTCCTGCTCCTTGCAGATATCAGAATATATCTACAGAATGAAGTGAAAGAACTGCAAGTCAATTTATTCTCTATTTCACTTCGCGTTTACATAAATAACTAATAAACAACCACTAAGTTCGAATTTTTTTAAAATCATATCACAGAATTAGACTGACTGATAGTCGGACAGATCCTCGTCTCCTCTCACTCTAAAGTGTTCGTGAAACAGTTATATTGTTCCATCCTTATTCAATTCTGGGGATAAACACTAGATTTTTTACAGTTTTTGTTTTCTAGGTTATATTGAGGTCATTGGCGTATCATAAGTAATTTCTATATGGATTTCCTGATTCAACTATACCAAGATATAGTTGAACAATCCTCTAGTTTTAGAGTTTACTACTCCAGCATAATCTTTGCGGGGTAGGGAACATATAATTTGTACTAGAAGCTTGATATATCTCACCAAAAGAGAATGTTCTTAGACTGTATACCAGAGTTGACTGAATTGACTGAATGAATTCTGATTTCAAGCTGAGCAGTAGTTCAACTATGAGCTGAATGAGCTGAGACTTATGATTGAGAAATGGTGAAAACCTCGATGTGGGTATCTGAACTACTGTACTTATGTCATGTGTGCTAAATATATTTTCTGATATCTAACTCGGAGAAAAATTTATGGAGTGACTAATTCTAGGACGAAAAGTAGGCTTATAAAAAGTATTTCGTGAAATTGCAGGAAAGTGAAGAATAGAATATACTTTATCCCCATGCTATACATATGATTTTTCCGTCTCCCTCAAATAAAAAGTCATTTCCAAATAATTCATTGATGAAAGTAATAAAGAAGTAGGTATACAGTATAACTTATGGGCACGTTATTTTCACTCTTGCATCCTATATATTTTCAATTTGTGGTAGAGTAATAATTATACAGTCTATCCAAGATAAGGTTGCACAGCATGGGGATCTCGGAAACGGTAGGAGATACGAAGTCGGTTAAATGTGGAAAAACTTGCGCATTCGGAGGCTCATACCAACAGCCTTCGAAAATTTTCAAAATTTTTTTTAGTTTTTCAGTTATATCGAAAAAATTGAATTTTTGGAATCTCTATTTTATTTTTTTTCTCCGTTATTATTAGAGATACAGGAATACTGAAAATACTTTTTCATAGCAACTTTTGATGACGTTCAACGTGGTGATACCGATTTTTCTATGCGACGTTTCGTATTCGTAGAACCATCATCAACTTTTGTTTTTTAAATACGGCCCTGATAATTCTTTCACAGATTCTGAAAGCTTTTTTTATTCTGAATTCTACCATGTATTATACAAGGTGGTTTGAATGTGTTTCGAACTATTTTTAGCCATCGTCAATGTTTTTTTCGAAATTCCAAAGGAAAAATGCCAGTACTGAATCTGCTGAATTTTCATTCCGAAATCAAAAAAATTGACTGAAAGTGACAGATACTCGTGAGCAGATATACTATTCATTCCAAATATTTCGACTCAACATTCTGCTGAAATTGCTGACTATCAAAAGGTAGTGTGGCTTTAGTGAACTGTCATTATTTTTGAGGGGAAAGGAATGACACATTCATTTCCGTTGTTTTTCAAACATTAAGTCTTGGCTTATCAATAATACATTAATAATATCATTTTGATATCAGAAAATGCCTGTTATTTATTTATCTCAAGCAGGAGCATCTGCCAGATCAATGACAACTGACAAATTTCACCAGCTGATCAACTGCTGCTGATTACTGATAAAAACGTGTTCCGAATTACAGCACTGTATTTTTGATTTTATATTTCGGAATACAGCTTATCAGCAGAGTCAGTGGATCTACTGACAGTACTGACCAGTTGAATTCGGAATATAGCCAGAGTGAGAGGAGACCAGGATCTGTCCGTACCCTGTTAAGACGACAAATACGTCAATATACATCAAGGGACCCTAACTTTTACCATCCAGTGACTCTAGTGTGTACAACCCCATTTTCCTTGTAGAAATCCCGATTCCACAACGGGTCATCCAGACGGTGTCCGCGACTCCCTTCCTCACCATATGGACGAAACTGTCGTCGTGGAATCGACGCCGAAACGCCCCGTCATCGCTCCTGCCAGACTGACCCCCGGCGTCGTCAAGCCTTCTGAACCGCTCAATCTCAGCTCGCCGAACAGGCCGATCATCCAGCCGGCCAGGCTGATCCCGCAGCCTCCCAGAGAGCTCCCGCAACCAATCAGAGATCTTCCGCAGCCTTCCAGGGAGCTAGGCGGAGGCCGAAAGGAGCCGGAAGAGATGCCGGCTCTGCCGCAGCAGTATTTGGAGAGGGCTGCCAGGTGCGTGAATGAATGAATGAATGAATGAATGAATGAATGAATGAATGAATGAATGAATGAATGTTTATTTACAGAAGGTTCAGTACATTATTATTTTTTACAGATAGTGTTCATGCAATAAACAGTGAAAACTAAATAGTTCGTTACGGAATAGTTCGTTACGGAAAGAAATATAGCAGTAAATAAACAGGAGAGAGTACCCGACTAAGTTCATTTAAGAACTTGTCTTCGGGTATTAACAATCTGTTGAAGTTTACTATTGAGAATATGTCTTGTGTTCAGTTGAATCATTCGACTATAGTATATACATTAATGGAATAAATAATCAATACTAAAACTAGAAATATGATCTCATTATGTAACTGTTACCTAACTATTTATTAGAAAATAAGATAATTGATATAAGATGATTCCGAAACGTACAAAAGAGGTAAATAATGAAACAATGAGAAGAAAGAAAATAAAAGTTATAACATTTTTCTGAAGTAGATATTTTCTAGATTGGATCAATGACATAGGTGAAGAATGTTCTGTCATTAAACAATATCCAGCTTTTCAGTTTGGCTTTGAATAGACGAGCCGAGTTAAGTTGTTTTGAGTCATTGGGTAATTTATTGAACAATTTTGAACCTGTATAGCGGAAATTTCTTTGACCAAGCGATTTCTGAGTAGCAGGGACATAAATGGCAGATGCTATATTTTGCCTGGTACCGTAGGTATGTGGTATATTATTTGAAATATGCCTATTGGAGTGAAGGAAACAGAGAGCTCTGAAACAGAAGAGTTGTCGTATGTCCATCACCTTGGCATCCATGAATAACTGGTCTGAGGGATACTTGCGAGGTTTCTTGAGTATGATTTTAATTATCCATTTTTGAATAACATCGATTGGTTGCAAATAATTTCTCCTAATACCACCCCACCCTATAATACCATATTGAAGAATGGATTCTACGAATGCGTAGTAGATAGTTTTGAGATGGTGTGGTGTTAGGAATCAAACTAATTGTTTGAATCTATGAATCATACCTCTCAATTTGTTCACAATATTGCGAGCTTGTACATCCCACCTTAAGAAGGAATCAATGTAGATACCTAGGTATTTCACTGATTGTACAAGTTCAATTGCATGATTATTTACATTTATAGTATCATAATTAGGCAGAAATGGTTTGTAAGATGTGAAGGGTAGAATTTTTGTCTTCATAGCGTTGACTGTCAGTTTGTTCTCATCGAACCAATCAAAAATCATTTGAATGTCTGCTTTAGCAGTTTGTTCTATTTCGTCCCAAGAGTAACCCTCATAGATAATGGAAGTATCATCTGCAAAGGATAATATTACTCCTTTAGCGTGGCCTCAAAGATTATACATTTCCTAGGTCCTTGGTTATTTACACAAATTATCATCAGTTCTACCAACCTTGGATGAACCATCTTTATGAGAGCGATGAAACCAGGAATTCTATTCAGTAGGGGGCAGTATCTATAAGCGAAAAGGTGAACTACTTTTTGTTGAGTAGCGAAGGGTACTAGTATTCGAATTCCAAGCCCTCATTTAATCAAAAACAAAGTGGCATGGACGAAAATAAAGATTCCTCAAAATTGTGAAGAAATGCTTGGTAATAATACATTTTTTTGGAAGAGCACTATCTGATGAACACTCAAAATTTCTCTTGATATTATCCACAAACACCTCAAATCTAACTTCATATTGGTTAGGAATTCTCGAATCCATGAACATCATACTAGACAATAATGGCTTCTTGATGCTGCTTATTCTACACTTGGCCAAAAAAAGTTCACTCATGGAGCTATCTCAAAATTCAATAAATTACCTGTGGTAGCTGTTTTCATTGATCTCAAAAAGGCTTTTGACACAGTTGATCATACAACACTTTTATAAAACTTAGAAACAATGGGACTCGGAGGCACTGTGAGGAATATTTTGAATTCATATCTTGAAAATAGGACAATCAATACAAAATCAACCAACTCTGTGTCAAATAAACTATTAATCAATAAGGGTGTCCCACAGGGCTCTGTTTTAGGACCTATACTATATTTACTTTATGTTCAAAATATCAGTGAAATTGGTCTCACGAGTAAATATACCATGTATGCAGATGATACAGTACTTTTATATGAAGGCAAGAATCCTTCAAATTTAGAAAATATGATAAATGAAGACTTGAAAATATTTGAAAAATGGCTCCACTCTAACCTTTTATCGATAAATACTAAAAAAACAGAATATATGATTTTTCACCAAAAAAATAAACAAAAAATTTACCTCAACCTTAAAATGAAAAATGAACTCTTAAAACAAACTGACCAGATAAAATATCTTGGAATTTGGTTTGATGACAGGTTGAAGTGGGACAAACATATTGATGTTCTGACAAAAAAAATATCTCCAATTATTGGTGCATTGAGGAGATGTCCCAAACTTGATATTAAAATTGCAAACATGATTCTCTACTCTCATATACTGAGTCGTATCAACTATTTAATAAATGTTTGGGGAACTTGTTCAAAGAACAATTTCAATAAAATATCAACATTATATAGAAAATCGTTAAAAGTATTGTATCGTCTCCCATTTGATACACCAACCAATCAATTGTTTGAAATAACAAATACGTATTCTTTAGATGAAATATATAGAATTGAAACTCTCAAAATATCATATAATATCATAAATAAAAAATTGAAGTCGAATTTTATGTTGATACGGAATTCTGAAATTCATAATCATGAAACAAGACAATATAACTTGTTTCATCTTGACGCCGCTAGCTCCATTATCGGACAAAAAAGATTCACTCATTCAGCCTTAACTGAATTCAATAAACTACCTGACAATATAAAAAATTGCAGAAATATAGGTTCATTCAAAAATGAAGTGAAAAAATTGATTATTTCTGAGCGAACTGAATAAAATTGAACATGCCATTTTTTTACAAATATTATTCTTTGTTTGTCAATTTACAGTTGTTGATATATTTTGTATAATGATATGTTTACCTATAGGTATATAATTACGTACTTCCTTATACCAGAGCCTATTCTGTCTGGAAGTTATTTGTTCAATAAATAAATAAATAAATAAATAAATATCAAAAGTTGCACAAACATCACCCAATTCAAAATTAAAGTCAAGAAACATAATATCCTCTTGCACTAATTTATTTCATGTCATAATGTACTTTTCATGAGCTTTTTTTTTATTATAATTATTATTTTTAAATCTGTTGTTTATTTCAATAACTTAGATATGAATCTGTCTGATTATCCATGTTATGTCATTATAAATGTTTATAAAATAAATTTATATTTATATGAGATGCAATGTAATGTTTATAGCAAAGAACGAAATAATAATTATTATTTTTATTATTCATTCATATAATCAATGATTACAGCAATAAAAAAAGTGCAATACAGTTCAAATTTCAACTCTAATTGGAGAATCTATAGTAGTATTATACATTATGGTTGCACATATAAGATATTCCAAAGAAAAAATAATACGTAGGTAATAAAAATTATTACTGCATTATTGTGTATGATATTGTACCTTGCAATGGTGTATACAGCATGATTTTCAGCTTCAAATATTTTTTTGTCCATAGTTATCTAAAGAGAGTTATGATACCGAGTAAAATTACATCAAAAATGGTTCTCGATTCCCAAGTCACAAGGAATTTGAATGGCATTTTTAAACCGCAAGGGCTGAAAATAGCTTGTACTGCAAAAAATACAATTTATATTCTTCTAGGTAAACTTAAAGATGGAATAAATATCAATGACTGTAACATGAAATAAATCGGGCAAACACTACGAAGCATTGCTAAAAGGTTCAAAGAACATATTCCTATTGGCGCTTTCTGAAACTCTTCTGGAATACATTAATTCCTATTCGCCAGTTCGCCACTGTAAAAAAATCTAATTCATTATTAATATTGATATTATATTTTGAATTTCTAATAAATAGAATTATATCATTTCACAGTACTGTATCAAACTTAGAATCTGTCAGTGTGGAACATGTACCTACTACTTCCACTGGAGCCATCAAGAAGAAGAGAAAGGTTTTGGACGAGAAGCTGGTTTTCAGGTTGATGGAAATATTTACCGATACCTGTCCCGATTATATAAGAAATATTTGTGAAGGAAAAGTGTGGTCTGAATTCGATGATGTCGTCACTATAATTTTGTCAAGTGAGTGTTATTATAACAATTATTGTGCTTTGTTACGTAATAGTTAAATGATACTATGATGACTTCGAAAGCATATCGACGATATGAGGATGATGATCTGTCATTTCGATTGAGAATGTGAGAGTGTAAATGTACAAAGTGGAACAGAGTCCTGATCCATTATCAACGATACTGTTTTGATTCGTAGGGGTTTATGGCATAAAAACTACATGAATCAAAAAAGAAAGAAATTAATCAATTTTTGACCATTATAAATGTGTATCAGCAAAAACCACAGGAAATCCATTCCACTTGAGTTTGCTGTGGGTTCTTGGGCGTTGATAGTTTTCAATGGAACACACCCAAAGATCATTCAAACTTTTTTCAGTGAATTCATTTCCTTACCAACTGGATTGTATTCAATCAATTATTATCTGACTACGTCGGTGTACTAAGCCGATTTTTTTGTTCTTTAAGATGAAAACCACCCTAAGAGGCAGCAAAAAGTACAAAGTCCACCGCGAGAAGTGACTATCGAAGATCAACTAGAAATAGTCAAGGCCCTCTTACCTGACGCCGATCCAACATACTTGAGATGCAAAGTGGAAGAGTTTGGATCGGATCAGGATAGACTTAACGAATTCATTTTCCAAGCCAACGAAACAAAGTCCTATCCAACCATGAAGGAATATTTGAGGTTAAATGGTTTTTCTATATATAGTATATTGCTATTTCCTGAACGGTAAGAGATATAAAATTGATTAGCGGAAACAGGTAGCCGTGCTGACAGAGTGTCAATATTCTAATCCGCATTCGCTTGCCGGTCGTGGGTTCAATTCCCAGCGACTGCAGAAAGTTTTCTGATTGCCCAAGAAAGTGTTTGGGATCACACGTTAAAAGGTAAGGCCCCCGACATTCCTTGCTCGCAGTCTCGAAGACTTCTGAGTGTTGCTTGTAAGGGGGCAACCGAATGACGGATAGATCAATTTTGGAACAAATTTTTTTTTAAAGTTGTGTTATTAGAACGTCTTCAATATGACGTTTTGCAATTTCGAAAAATGTCAGTCCTTCCTGGAATAACTTTTTCCGAAATTACGCAACTTTTGCCTAATCTAATCAAGTTTTTATCCAGTACTGTTCAGGAAATATATATAAATCGTTGGGTCCCTGTATATGAGATGTTTGGTTGACATTTTTTTTTTGTAGGAAACAAAAACTATCAGCTCAATCTAAGCAGTACACCACCGAGTTCAACGTGGAAAATTTCGTGCAACTCTTTCCGGAGCCGGAGAAAACGTTCAGCGACCCGAAACGAGCCGTCAAAGTGGACAACTACACTTCCCTGTATATCCTCAACTATTTCCAGAAAAGATTCGATATGATTTCGGTCAAATACATTCGGTCGGCCCTTGCCCAGGAGTCGTATAGGATAGTACCCAGCGATAAGATACTCATGGATCTTATGAAAGCGAATAAAACGTTGAAGAATAGGAGGAAACATTGCAATGATTTGATTGATATTCCGCAAAATATTGCCGTCTTACAAGAGGTGACATTTTATTGTTTAATTATTTCAAGAAAATTTGTCCCTGTTTCTCTTTAGGGGCACCCCTTTATTAGTGTACTTTCTGTGAAAATATTTTCTGAAATCATATTTCTTCAGCTTTTCACATCTTTAGAAGGCATCTATGCATCCTTGAAGTCGCCATTTCCATTCTATACAAGACGTACCTCATGAATCCGTTAGCTCGTTTCAACGCAATTGAATTCAATGAAAAAATGCGAATTTAATATGACAAGATACTGATTAGTGTACTATCTGTGAAAATCTATTTCGAAATCATATTCCTTCAGCTCTTCACATCTTCAGAAGAAATATATTCATCCTTGAAGTCGCCATTTCTATTCTATACAGGACGTGCCTCATGAATCCGTAACCTCGTTTCAATATAATTGAATTCAATTAAAAAATGCGAATTCGATCCTTTTTCCCCATGTGTTTGCGGAAATCTACTGCTGAAGAACAATTTTAATAAAATATTTGCATTGTATAGCAAATTATTGGAAGTAATATATTGTTATCCAACAAATCAACTATACGGGGTGTCCCGCAATTAGCCTGCCAAACTTCACCAGCGGCTTCAACGATCAAAAAATAGGAAGAAAAGTTTCAATGAACACGGGACAAGACATGTCTCCTAAGGGAGGGAAAGATGATATTCCTTGAGTATTTCCGACACTCCTTGTCGAATCGAATCAAGTTTGTTACCAGATTAAAGTATAAATGGTGTACAAAAAACATATCATTCACATTTTGTCCAGCTTGTCACAAAAAAGGAACCTATAGAAACATTACTGATACATAGGATATATGTTCACAAAAACTAACACTTTAATTAATGACCACTATACAACTATACAGGGTGTTCCGAAATGAGCCTGCCAAACTTCACCAGCGGCTTCTACGATCAAAAATAGGTCAAGTTACAAAAATGGAAGATTGTAAATTCAATTTCATTCCATCAAGAAATTTAGAATTTCCATAATCATCAAAATAAAGAACATAACTTATCTCAGCTTGATGTTGCACATTCCATATATTACCCTGATGATATAAAAGATTGCAGAATCATAATTAAACTCAAAACTATGAGTGAAAAAAAAATTGTAGGAACTGAATAATATGTTTACCTTTCATAATTTCTATAAATTAATATTGGTCTTGGTTCACCAAAGTCAAATAAAAATGTACGTGTTTGTTTCGTTCGAATTGATGATGAACGATGATTTCTCCATTCTTTCAGCTAGCCTACCTCACTCACCAAAAAGAGATCGAGTCCTATATCAAAGAAAAAATTGAGAAAGAAGAGCGCGACAGAAAGTATGCAAAAGAGAACGGCTTGATGAACACTTGCAGGTATGGTTGGAAATATTTCGTTTTCGATATGAACTTGAACTTATTGGCATTCAATTTCTCCACTGTGTCCTCAGGAATCCTAATTAATTTTTGCAACACTTCTCACGCTTTTTTCATGTAAATAATGTGTCTATGCGTTCGAAATTGTTGAATTTCAGAGCTCGTTTCAAACGAGCCATCATGGCCGACATTTGGCTGTTTAGTTATTGGTCAGATAATCTTCCATTACCACTCATGAAGCAAGGTTGTCAATTCTCCAATTATAATCAAGTTGTCAAAGAGATGTTGGTGTCCTGTCGTTGAATCAAACAATAGGAGGAACCCATGATATTATAGTTCATTCTTGATTTTTTTCTAACAACCAAGATGTCGAAATATTTCCTATTCTTCATAACAAAATATTATGTAAATGTTGGAGGCTTGGCAACGTTGCGCGGAATGCTGAGAACTGACAAGACCACGCCTACAATTCGTACACTGTTGTTACGTGCACTGATTCAAATGTCCTCTAGTGTGAATTGATATAATTATTATTTACACAAATTTATTATGAGCAATAAACCAAAAATCATAAGGGAATATTTTGAGACAATTGAATTTGTATTGCTAATTAGGAATATTACCAATACTTGATTGGGGTCACTTTTTTTATTCGGTAAATTTCTAGCCGTTTGAAAATTATCATTATGGATGATCTCAGCAGCTTAGAATCGAAAAATTCTTAAAAAATATGAAATTGAAAGATATTTGAGTAATGATTCTATTTAAGAAATAAAAAAATTATTCCACTCGCCTATTTCGTCATCAAATGACCTTTTCGATAATACATGGTACCTTTCCTATTAAAATTCTATTGGTCAGCTCAGAGTACAAAAGGGTAAAGACAGAGGGCAGTTGAGGGTCGGTACAACGACATCATCGGGATCTCTATACAAAAAAACTCCAGTAAATATAATTTTGAATAGTTCCATTCATACTAGGACGATGACAAAAATAATTTGGTAAATGTTCATTTCAAATCATACACTCCCTGCGCCATTTGAACGCGTCTATTGTCCTTGAGCTAACCAATCACACTACAACACTGCAGAATGGTATCAGAGCGAGAAAGGTACAGTTCGGGACTAATACCTCACGGCTCCACCTTCATATCTAGTTTTATTTATTTATTATTTATTTATTTATTCATTTTTAAAAAACATATTCCACCATACTATATTAATAGTAAATAATACATAATACAATAAAAACATGATCAAAAAGTTTGAAAACTTGTACATGATCATGTAATATTTTTTTCCTTTCCCTAACTAACTAAAATTAATTTTCTCATTGAGTACAATTTACCTAATGACTTCATATCAATACTAAACTATGAAACATGATATGTTGCATAAGTATTATTTTATATTCAAATAAATTTACAAAATTTCTGAATTCTCAATCAACCATGATTTAATTTTTTCTTGAAACCGGAGAAACTGATTTTTTTTTAGAGGGAGGCAATTTATTCATTTTTACCTATATGAATGGCATGTTGTTGCATTAAAGTTGAAGAGAATTTCTTGATTGATATCCAACCATCAATTTTATATAAGTGGTTTATATAGACCTCCCCAGCCTATTATGCCACAAAATTGTTCTATCCGGCATTCGGTTTCCCCTTACGAGCAACCCTCAGAAGTCTTCGAGAGTCTTGTGGGAGCAAGGAATGACGGGGGCCTAACCTTTTAACGTGTGATCCCAAACACTTTCTTGGGCCATCAGAAAAATTTTTGCAGTCGATGGGAATCGAACCCACGACCGGCAAGCGAATGCGAATTAGAATATAGACACTCTGTCCGCACGGATACCTGGCCCCATAAGCCAAATTAGATTGAAAAAGACTATAATAGAATTGGATAATCGATTAGATTCCCTTCAACTTTAACTTATAATATTGATTAACATTAAATGTCATTCATGATTCAACGATTGAAAGAGATTTGGACGGATTTCATTCCTCAATGATCTTCCCAATTCTCGTTAACACGGTAAGTTCTCCTCTTTGAAATTCTCCAGAAATTTCACTTTCTAGCTGAATGAAGTATTTCAATTGAAAAACTTTCAAAATTGACATTCTCATTCACCGTCCCAATCCCATGAGCATCACACCAGACACTGAACATTTGAAAACTGTCAAAATACAAACCCAATTCGAGAAAAAATCGTTATATTTTTGTGGTATAAATATTTATAGTAGTCGACCCAACAGAATAAAATCTATTAGGTTCGTCACAAAATTCAAGAGTGAACTGAAGAAATATATTTTATCAATTTAACTCTCTTCTTGTATCAATTAATTCTGGTTGAACTGTTTATCTTTCATTTTATCGCATTTTTTTTTGTATCCCTCTATGAACATTGAATGTTTCTTGGGATCAATAAATGTTATTATTATTACTTGCAGGTGCTGCTTCGACGACGAAGTCATGCCGAAAGACACGTTCTGCTGCCCCAACGAGTGCATGTTCTGCAGGGACTGCATCCTCAAGAGTTGCGAGGTCGCTCTCGGTGAGGGTAAAACCGAATTCAACTGCCTCGAAGGTTGCGAGGTTGAGTTCACGCTGCAGACGTTGCAGGTGAGCGAAAGTTCTATTTGGAATCTGTAGCGTTTTTTGTACTATAAGTAGGAATGTCAGTCTTGTTACTGACGTCAAAACAACAAGGAAAGTTGTGTTGAATCATTGTCGAACAATTGCCTTGTGTGTAGTTAAAAATCTGGCAGCGTCAAAATATGTGGCCCTACTTTTTATGCGAAAGCTAGGATTCAGATAATGATAATAATAATAATAATAATATGTCTTTATTCATATTGCCCAAATTACAAAATAATCAAAACCTCGATGGTACACAATTTATCAGACAATATGTAAGGGCGGAATTCAGTCACTCCTATCCGAAGATAATAGTGACTGCTCTTCCATTCAACCCATAACATCATGGTATGTTCGTAAGTACTATATATAATCCTGATTTATTGAAAATAAACTGATAATTAGTTCGTACTAGTGAATATACAAAATTATATTTGAGATACAGAAATTGAATGCTTTTTATTCATAATTATCAAGTGAATACTGAAGTTCTAACTTCGTGGAATTGACTACATAGGCTATAAAGATACATATTTTTAACACATATATTGACTTGGTTCAACTAGACAAAAAAGAGAAAGAAGAAGAAACTAAAATGGAAATAAAAGTGGCAACAAAGAGTTCAATTGGAAAACATATAATATGATACACTACACTGTTTTACCACTAACCAAACCGATTTTTCAACGCCTCGACACGTGTTTCGCTAACTATGTTAGCATCTTCAGGAGAAGATTAAAACTGTTTTAATCTTCTCCTGAAGATGCTAACATAGTTAGCGAAACACGTGTCGAGGCGTTGAAAAATCGGTTTGGTTAGTGGTAAAACAGTGTAGTGTATTATCGTGCCAAAGGTTCCAGTCTTCGATATATATAATATGATCATATTGATGATGATATTGTAGGGAACTAGAGGCGATCAGTTATGGATAACATGTTCAAACCTCCATTTGGTACCTATATACATTGGAAATCATACTATATCAAACCTACCCTCAAACAACATTTTTTTTTAGTGTAGTTCTGAATTTGCATTTATTCATCATTTTCAGCGAGTCAGGGATGGCGTTATAAATTTTGGATGCATTGTATGAGAATGATCGTTGGTATAGTGACGTATGGTGCTTAGGACGATAGGAGATAACGATGACATTCGGTTCATGACGTCATCGATGCATTTTCGAGTATGCCGAATTTCATTATTGACAAATATATTTGCGATGATTTCAAACAGTAAATAATGAATTATTGCATCTGATACTATTTATAAACGAAATAATCGATATGAAATAGGTTTGTCGCGTAAATTCGACTAGCGTGTACAGCCCCATCAATAGAGAACAAGCAACACACAACAATAAAAGATTGAATCCCAATTCTAAAGAATTCGGAGAAAGATAATTGAAAAAAAGGGAGCCAACAGTAAACCACCAGACTTCAAAACCGTCAGGTACCAATCGTTACAAATATTCTTCTCTTTTATCAATATCTGTGGTTGACTAGTTGAGTACTGTTTGGGAAAAAATAGAACAAGACAAATTCAACCTAAAACTATCACTATACAGTAACGCCATTGACAAGCAGACAAATTTTGGGTCATATCTCTCGCCTACCAACTAGCAGCCGTGTCATCAATATACAGGGTGTATCTAAATAACACCGAAAAAATTCGAGATGTGATTCCTTGTGATATTCTAGCAAATAAAGTTCATGTAAAGATGTGTCCTAACTTGCTCCGTTTTGAGATACAGGATGTTGAAGTTGGAAGTATTAATTGTTTTTATTTATAACCCCCCTGTATAAGCTTTCATGGTGCCAAAATTCAGTATGGTTGGAGACTGAGAAAGTCCCAAAATTTCAAAATGATTCTAATTGGGGTTATTGAGTAATCTCAATGAAAGTCTTGAAAACACGCCTACATTAAAATTTGGAGTCAAATCGATGTTTTATTGTTTCCTCAAAAATTAAGCAAGATACAAAAATTACACAAAGGATAAAAAAGTTGTTATTTCAATATCTCGCGGGGACTGCCAAGGGAGGAACAATTGTTGATATTTCAGAAGAGTATTGCCAACTTTTCTACGGTGTTCCAGAGAAGTGAGTGAGGTTGTGAGCGAGGTATCACCCAGGAGACGAATTGCCTTTTTTTGGACAGGTCGGATCTGTGAAGCTTTCGCGAAGTACCAAAATGAACGAGATCTGTTAGAACATTCAACAAGTTTTGATCTCATTTTGGCATTATGAGCATCTTTTGATGATCGAATTGTCTCCTTGTTATCGTAGCCTCGACATATTCTGCTCTAGTCTCAGGGCCTGGATTTTGTACATCGAAGACAAACAAACGGGTCGATTCTGTTTGCAAATAGCAATATGGTTGTAGAGAAGATATTGCTATCATAGCAAGATTCGAAAAAGTGGAATTCTAATCATCGATTTTTGGTAATATGATCTGTCAATTTCAATGACATCTGGTCAGCTTTCTTGCTATCTCGGCAATATCAATTTTGTGCTTGCTATCTTATAACAAGGTAGTGGATTCTTTGTTTTTGCACTACAAATTCTTACAACTGTATGAAAATTCAGAAAATAGTGGATTAAAAACATATGAGAGTTCAGTTGTGTCACTGACTACTCGAAAACCTTTCCTCAAAGTTTCAATTCGTAGAAGAATTATTGAAAAACATGAAATGTTGATTACAAACATATAGGATAGGTTCACTACTGTGACCAACTACTTGATAACCTTTTCTTGAAGTTCCAATTTGTAGAGGAAATATGAGACTACAATTTCGACATTTCAGTTGCCTGATGGATAATTTATCAACCTATTTTGCTAGAATATTCAAAAAAATCACGATTATTTTCATCAGGGTTTTAGTTGTTAAGTTGTTTTCTCATTTCGGGAACATGATTGATTACTTGCCAGTTGCACATCGACGACCAGATTCAGCAAATACAAAATCTCTCGATTTGAACTATATAATTTTGTAAAATGTCAGCGCAGAACTGACCAATTTGAGAGGTTAGGTAATCATGAACTCTTCTTCTTCATGAAATAATGCCAAAATCGATACCAAACACTTGAACAATGAGATGAAAACAGTGTTGTCAGCTCAAAAATTCTCAATTTTTCAACAATATTGCTATCACTTGAACTTATAACCAGTCTTGCAGTTACTCTGCAAACACAATACAGAACTTCATAGCAATATTGTTATATGTTATGATGAGGTTATGATCATAACAATATTATTATCTTAGCAATGTTATAACAAGATCCGAACAGAATTGACCCGAAAGTGCTATATTCCCAACAGTTTTTTTTTATTTTCCACCAATTTTCAGAACGTCCTGCCGCCGAAGATGTTCTCCAAACTGGCCCAAAAGAAGACTGTGGCCGAGGCGCAGGCGGCCGGCATCGCCGAGCTGGAATCCTGCCCGTTCTGCGACTTCGCCAGCATACCCGACGAGCGCGACAAGGTGTTCCACTGCCTCAACGCCGACTGCATGAAGGAGTCGTGCAGGCTGTGCCGGCAGGAGAACCACGTGCCGTACAAGTGCGACGAGGTGGAGAGAGATGCCGACGTGAAGGCGAGGACGTACGTGGAGAACAAGATGACGGAGGCGCTGATCAGGTGAGGTCGAAGTCGTTTGAACGCGAGAAACGAAACGCTCTGGGGGGCTTTTCTCGAATGTCTAACGAAATATGTCGTATGCGACATTAATATGCGTATCAAAAACCCAAATTTTTCATTGGAGTTGATATCACATTCTGAAAGTGATTGGAAAACGTGAGTTTTTGACCAAACAGGTATATAGCTAAGAGGAAAGCTTATTAGATAATAAGGAATACGCATGATTTTTTGTTTAATCGAAATTATATTCCTTCTTTCTTATAATAACATTGGATATCATTCATTAATCTCAAATTCGCTTGTGACTCTAAAAAATTTCTTTTAAATGAGGCTAAATATGAAGTCACAGGAAAACGGGTTAGTGGCCATCACTAATATTATGACGTCATAGTATTAGGCTGCACAGCCATAGACTAGCGCGACAGAATGACAAGATTCAGATTGAAAAAAAAGAAGAAGAAGAGGTAGGAGAAGAAAACAGTTTTAAACGCCAGAAATTTGAAATTTGAAAATGGAAAATGATAATGTTTATCCCAAATACTCTTTAGTGCCGCAATGCCTTTCATTAACAAAAGTATCACCAGGAAAAATATTCCTTTCATTACCAGTGGGATCGAGTGATAGAAATAAAGAGTAAAGAAAATTATGATTGCAAGCCATAAATAGAAATGATTTATCCGAGAAAACCAGAGGATTTGTTTGTGAAGACCATTTCGAAGTGAGTATACGTTCAAGTATGTCCTAGTGAAACCCATTATATATCAATGATTATGTTCCTCATGTTATTAGGAGAATAATATAATATGTGATTTCGTTTTCTGCTTGAAGAAGATATGGAAAACTATATGAGATATAAATTGATAGGTGGTGATATATATTTGAAACAACATGCAAAAAGAAGTCCTGTTTGATCATTCTTATTGTAGATATTTGCTTATTATTCAGTTATTATTATTCATAATATTGAGATCATATAATTGAGATAGATTATAGAAACTACAAGCTCAGATAATCATAACCTCACTTTCTCTTCTTATATTATTTTCAATCTTTCGGACATGAATGTTTGACATGACAAATAAAAACAGCCACATCCAGTCGGAAATCATCTCTGCAGTTCGGCTGTTGGTCGGAAAGTTGCAAATATTATGATTTTCAATCAGAAATTATTAAATGTTCAGTGCTTAATAATGTTTTTCGAATGTATAATTTGACATCTATACATATGAGTAATGGAACAAAAATATATTCCAGTGTAAAATTTTCACACGCGTATACCCTATTATGTGGTTTGAAGAGGTGAGTCAGTATATATGTTTATATACAGGGTCGCTGATATGTATGGAAACAAGTGAATATCTCTGTAACCTGTTGTTGGATTTTTTCAAATTCATGTAATGTCTGATTCCAAAACGTGGCGGATTTGAAAATGTTATAGCCAATGTTGCCACTTTTTCAGTTATTCCGGATTTTTCATCAACTTCCTTATTTTGAATGGAACACCCTGTACTTTATTGAATTTTCAGATTCTCCTTGGAAAGCTGATTTCATCGATCTATCACACTTGGGGTCTAGCGAAAATGAGTACATAGGTATAGGATGTTTAAAATCTAGATTTTTCAACTTTAGGACTTTTTTGTGTCGAAACTATTCATTATCGATCAAAACCGCTCCAATGTTCCTATCTTCACTCTTGATTTACCATCTACTGACATTTAATTGAAACAAATACAGGGTGAAGATTCAGAATTCTGATCACCCTCTGTATCTGTTCCAATTAAATGTCAGTAGATAGTAGATCAAAATTAAAGATAGAACATTAGAGCGGTTTTGATCGATAATGGATAGTTTCGACACAAAAAAATCCAAAAATTGAAAAATCTTGATTTTAAACACCCTATACCTATGTGATCATTCCCGCTAGACCCCAAGTGTGATAGATCGATGGAATCAGCTCTTCAATGAGAACCTAAAACTCTATTAAAGTACAGGGTGTTTTATTCAAAATAAGGAAGTCACAAATCAAATCTGGAATAACTGAAGAAGTGGCAACATTGGCTATAACATTTTCAAATCCGCCACGTTTTGAAATCACACTGTACATAAATTCAAAAGAATTTAACAACAGGTCACCGAGATATTCACCTGTTTCCATACATATCAGCGACCCTGTATATCTTTTTTTATAGAAAATGCTGGAAGTGCGGCATGAGTTTTTTCAAAGAAGAAGGATGCAACAAGATGACATGTACCTGCGGCGCTAAAATGTGTTACCTCTGCAAAGCGCCGGTAACGGATTATTCGCACTTCAACGGTATCGGCGGCGACAAGCATCACCTGTGAGTAGAGTCCTGGATGTATTTGACATATCAATTTATAGTGCTAGTAATGAATTCTGAAGTTTGGTAACCACGGCTGGAGATGACCCTAGAATAGAATAGAGTCTTTATTGTTTACAGAAACACGTGGTTTCATAACAAGGAGATCATACAGTTCGAGATTGCAAGATCTTATGACTAATACAGATATACCACCGAATTGATGCAGTGGTGGAAAAATGAATAATCACTTGATACCGAGCTTGATACCTACTGAAAGCTAGTAGGAAGAAAATGATAAGAAAGAATACAAAAATATGTATAAACCCTAAATCATTAGCCCTCTGTCTCATTACGAACATACAGGTACATACCTAGTACAATACATGTCAATGCATTAAATGTAAGTGGACGAATAGCTATGTGATAAACTCCTGGAGTAAACTATAGTCCATTATATATACAGCACATTTACTGACCTTAATAATAATAATAATAATTAACGTCTTTATTACTCACATCACATCTTACATCAGTATATGAAAAAAGAAAAAAACAATTGAAATGAGTAAAAGGCGAAGTTCAATTCAGGTGGAGATGATGAATCACCACTAAATTGTTCTTCCACTTAACCTTCTATATAGTCTCTTATTCCGCATTATTTCAAATATGGATGTCTGCATGATCGAGTTTGCTACCTAAGATTGAAAATAGTACTAAGAATTTAATATGAAATTAAGAAGAGGGGGAAATACATGATACGTAATATGGAGCCGGTATTCAAGATTTTTGAAGGTGCTTTTAAATTTGTGAAGACCTTCATTTTTTATTGATTGTGGTATAGAGTTGTAAACTTTACAAATTTGGTAAGAGAATAATCGCTTGAAGAATTCTGTTCTGAGATGGAGGGGGGGGGGGTGATAACGTACCTTTGTATCGTATATTCAAATTGTATATGTCGGACCGGAATCTCAACCTTCTGTGGAGGTAAGGAGGTGTCTTGCTGATAATGATTCGGTGGAACAGACAAGCATTGTGTAGAATTCGTATATGTTCCATATTCAACCAACCAGATTCACGAAGTTTGTAAGTGATTCTTTGCCTTCTGCGTATACCATATAAGTCTCAAACAAGAGTTTTGAACTTTTTGAATTTTCTTTTTATACTGATTGGTTAAATTGGGACCATATAGAGTGTCGGCATAGTTGAATACTGATAATACCAAGGTTTCACATAGGGTAGATTTGATAGTTGATGAAAGGAGATGCCTACTGCCATAAATTAACTTTATTGCGGAATAAGCCTTTTGTATTGATTTGTTCACGTGTCTTTCAAACGTCAAATCAGTGTCAATCAGAACACCTAGATTCCTAGCTAAATTTACCTTTACAAGAGCCTCATCATTGATTGGGATACCAATATCAATGTTAAGATCGCCGTTTCACTGCCTACTTCTGAAACTTTTGTCTAGATGGCGGTGAGATGGCCGTTTGCACGCTGTTTGCACTAAAATATGAGAATTTTCAAGACGGTAGTGCGCCACGATATACCCCTAGTACGTATTCGTAGTTTCCTTCTTTCTAGTCAGTTCGGGCAAGTCCTCCATAGGTGTCGGAATACTAGCATCGAATCGGAATAGAATTGATCGATCAATCATAGAATATAAAAATAACACAGTTTATATTCTTGGGTTCAAATATGAATATAGTTTATATTCTTGGGTTCAAATATGGAGTGAAATTCTGGATGTGTGCTTGCTCTTACCGTCCGCGCAAAATATGTAGTATTTATAGGTCTCGATCTCGATCCAGATAATGGCTGACCTGACTTTGTTTACTATGTTTATGTTTACATCGCGAAGCGTAGAACCAAAGAGTAGGGGATGGTAGAACCACGCTGGTAGAACCAGAACCGAGCCGTCACGATTATCATTGTCAGAGATAAATCATGAGGGCTTTGGCAGAACGCGGGAATTTCGCACTGAATTGTTATCTACGAGAATAGTTGGAAACTCAATAGGTATCAAGTGATATCAATATCAAGCATTTCATTCAAAGCGAAAATGTTACATGTGGTCTTTTTTTACAAGCATCATCAAATCTTGCAAGTTAAATTTGACGCACTTTCTGATCGTCCGATTGATTAAAAACTTGGCAGGTGGACATGATTTTGGTGACAATGCATTATGAAATAATTAGGTTTTCGGGGTCGGAGATTATGATTCTCTTGTCAAAATTGAAAAATTCAAGATGGCGGCTCCATGGCGGACTGGTTTTGTGCTTATGATCTGATTCGATTAAAAATTAGTAGGTATCTGGGGGTTTTCGGGGTCGGAGATCATGATTCTTTTGTCAAAAATGGAAAAAATCAAAATGGTGGCAAAATAGTGTAGGTTCGAGTTTTGTGATTATGGACCGATTGTATTCAAAATTGGTATCTGGTGGTTTACGGAGTCAGAGATTATGATTCTCTTGTCAAAATTAGAAAATTCAACATGACGGCTCCAAAATGGCGGACGAGTTTATTGTGATTATGGTCCGATTCTATCAAAAATTTGTAGGTATCTACGTATCTATATAGGCTTTTCGGATTCGGAGATTATGATTTTCTGTCAATATAAAAAAATTCAACATGGCGGAATAGTTTTGTGATTATGGTACGATTCTATTCAAAATTTGTATTTGTGGGTTTTCGGGGTCGGAGATTATGATGTTTTGTCAAAATTCAAAAATTCAACATGGCGGCTGAAAAATGGCGGAAGAGTTTTTTTGGTAATGGGCCCATTCTATTCGGTATCTTGGTGTTTTCGGAGTCAGAAATTATGATTTTTTGTCAAAATTCAAAAATTCAACATGTCGGCTCAAAAATGGCGGAAGAGTTTTTTGGTAATGGGCCCATTCTATTCGGTATCTTGGTGTTTTCGGAGTCAGAGATTATGATTTTTTGTCAAAATTCAAAAATTCAACATGGCGGCTCAAAAATGGCGGAAGAGTTTTTTTTGATAATGGGACCATTCTATTCGGTATCTGATTGTTTTCGCAGTCGGAGATTATATTTTATTGTCAAAATTCAAAAATTCAACATGACTGCTCCAAAATGGCGGAGCAGAGTGGTTTTCGGAGTCGGAGATTACCTATGATTTTTTGTCAAAATTGTAAAAATTGCAGAAATTGCAAAAATTCCTGAAAATTGCAGAAATAGCAAAAATTCCTGAAAATTGCAAAAATTGCAAAAATTCCTGAACATTGCAAAAATTGCAAAAATTGCAAAAATTGCAAAAATTCCTGAAAATTGCAGAAATTGCTGAAAATTGCAAAAATTGCAAGAAATGAAAAAATTGCAAAAATTCCTGAAAATTGCAAAAATGCCTGAAAATTGCAAAAATTGCAAAAATTCCTGAAAATTGCGAAAATTGCAGAAATTGCAAAAATCGCAAAAATTCCTGAAAATTGCAAAAATTCCTGAAAATTGCAAAAATTGCAAAAGTTGCAAAAATTGCAAAAATTCCTGAAAATTGCAAAAGTTGCAGAAATTGCAGAAATTTATGAAAATTGCAAAAAATCCTGAAAATTGGAAAAATTCCTGAAAATTGCAAATATACCTGAAGATTGCGAAAAATTTTCATTTTTGCAATTTTCAAAAATAGCAAGACAAAAATGCCTGAAGATTGCGAAAATTGCAAAAATTCCTGAAAATTGCAAGATTTGCAAATATTTCTGGAAACTGCATAAATTTCAAAAATTGCAAAAATTCCTGAAAATTGCAGAAATTGCGAAAATTCCTGAAAATTGCAGAAATTGCAGAAATTCCTGAAAATTGCAAAAATTCCTGAAAATTGCAAAAATTGCAAAAATTCCTGAAAATTGCAGAAATAGCAAAAACTGCAAAAATTCCTGAGAATAGCGAAAATTCCTGAAAATTGGGAAAATTCCTGAAAATTGCAAAAATTCCTGAAAATTGCAAAAATTGCAAAAATTCCTGAAAATTGCAAAAATTGCGAAAATTCCTGTAAATCACAAAAATTCCTGAAAATTGCAAAAATTGCAAAAATTCCTGAAAATTGCAAAAATTCCTGAAAATTGCAAAAATTGAAAAAATTGCAAAAATTCCTGAAATTTGCAAAAATTGCAAAAATACCTAAAAATTGCAAAAAATTCCTGAAAATTGCAAAAATTGCAAAAATTCCTGAAAATTGCAGAAATAGCAAAAACTGCAAAAATTCCTGAGAATAGCAAAAATTGCAAAAATTCCTGAAAATCGCAAAAATTGCAAAAAATCCTGAAAATTGCAAAAATTCCTGAAAATTGCAAAAATGCCTGAAAATTGCAAAAATTGCAAAAATTCCTGAAAATTGCGAAAATTGCAGAAATTGCAAAAATCGCAAAAATTCCTGAAAATTGCAAAAATTGCAAAAATTCCTGAAAATTGCAAAAATTGCAAAAGTTGCAAAAATTGCAAAAGTTGCAAAAATTGCAAAAATTCCTGAAAATTGCAAAAGTTGCAGAAATTGCAGAAATTTATGAAAATTGCAAAAATTGCGAAAATTACGAAAATTCCTGAATATGCAATTTTCAGGAATTTTTGCAATTTTCAGGAATTTTTGCAATTTCTGCAATTTACAGGAATTTTTGCAATTTTTGCAATTTTTGCAATTTCCAGGAATTTCTGCTATTTTCAGGAATTTTTGCAATTTTTGTAGGAGTTTCTGCAGTTTTTGCGATTTTCTGGAATTTTCGCAATTTTTGCAATTTTCAGGAACTTTTGCAATTTTTTTAAATTTCTTGGAAATTTTGCTATTTTTCCACTTTTTGCAATTTCTGCAATTTTCAGGAATTTTTGCAATTTTCAGGAATTTTCTCAAATTCCAGGAATTTTCGCAATTTCTGCAATATTTGCAATTTTCAGGAATTTTTGCAATTTTTGCAATTTCCAGAAATTTTCGCAATTTCTGGAGTTTTCAGGAATTTTTGCAATTCTTGCAATTTTCAGGAATTTTCGCAATTTTCCGGCATTTTTGCGATTTTTATAATTTTCAGGAATTCTTAGGAATTTTTTCAATTTTTCGGAATTTTTGCAATTGCATTTTTCAAAAATTTTTGCAATTTCTGCAATCTTCATGCATTTTTGCGTTTTTTGCAATCTTCAGGAATTTTTGCAATTTTTGCAATTTTCAGGAATTTTTGCAATTTTTGCAATTTTCAGGAATTTCTGCAATTTCTGCAATTTTCATGCATTTTTGCGTTTTTTGCAATCTTCAGGAATCTTTGCAATTTTTGCAACTTTTGCAATTTTTGCAATTTTTGCAATTTTTGCAATTTTCAGGAATTTTTGCAATTTTTGCAATTTTCAGGAATTTCTGCAATTTTCATGCAGTTCTGCGTTTTTTCTCCATTCCATTATTTCCAATACAAGCAGATGCGCCGCTATTTTTATCCCACTGAATACAGTTGATTTATTGAAAATTTGATAGTTCTACAAATTTTTCCTTTCCTTTTTACTTTTTTAGTTACTATCTAGGGAGTTCTAGATAGCTCTCGAAGATTTATACAAAATATTCCCCAAGCATTTTATGAAAAAAAATATATTTTGCAAATTATTCAATAATATTCACTTTTCAAAAATATTGTCATCCAATGAAAAATTCAGAAAATATCACAGTACTGAAAGGGGTTCTAGGTAGCGCAAGAAGAGTTCTACAAATTATTCTCAAAGTGTTTTATGGAAAAAGTTATATTTTGCAAATTATTCCATAATATAGGATCCTATATTTTCATTATCAAATGAAAAATTCAAGAAATATCACAGTTCTGAAGAGAGTTCTAGGTAGCGCTCCGAGAGTTCTACAAAGTATTCCCAAAGTATTTCATGAAAAAAATTAAATTTCGCAAATTACTCAATAATATTGGGTGCTCACTTTTCAATTCCACTGCTGATCATTTGCACCTCTTTGAAGTTTCACAAATTTACACTCTTGCTGAATAATTATATTTCACTAGAGTCCGTTCAACAACTGTACAGTGTTCAAATTCATGGTTTTGAAGCAGTAACATGTCCAAACCTGAGCTCATGTCATAGTGACAGAACTGATTGTCCTCTTGTTAGAAATTCCACTTCTTTGTACAACTATAGATCCATTTGCTCTGTAGACATGGAGAATGACAAAGTCTTCAAATTCTTCTCCTAATGCATGAAAGCGAAATAAAAGTCTATATAGACAGTCTGTTGAGCTTGTCCTATTCTTCATCAGAGGCATACTTGAGATTCTGCCCTGCTACTTTTTATTTCATCCCTAAATGTTGTACCACTAGAAGGGAAGTAGGTACTTGTTGAACGGTTGTCCACTATTTCTAGCACAAAAATCTGCAATGGTGATGAATGTTTGGGGTGTGTAGATAATAATGGCTCCATGCAATATGATGATACATCAGTTGGTGAAGATTTCTCACTTCTTCAGTGCACCCACATCAAAATGTAAGTGCATGCTTGCAGCCACCTACGAGACAATAACAACTATAAAACTGCATATAATTTTTGCACAACCACTTACCTACCTGATGAAGCAACACAGTCATAGCAACACAGTCATTGAGTCATTGCAGATGTCATTTATCACTTGTTCTTCTGTCTCATCGGATCGGCAATAAACTGAACTGAATGATTATTTTGGAACAGACTGCGGTTTGGGCATACCTTTCACTGTTCGCCTCTTTTCCTCGCCCCGGCTCTTTTCAGCACTATATACCTAATGGCATTATAACTATATGCCTCACGAGTATTCCTATAAGATGAGAAATTAATGAAATATTTTTTTCCAAAGATACCTATGATTTCAATTCCACCAAACAAAAACATAACCTCTAAATGAGATATCTGAAAACGCCTTTTCATACTAAAAAAAAACATACTCGGGGTACTTTCAATATCGAAATCCAAGTGTTTACTTACTTTATTGCTTTCACATTCTGGAATTCACCTGCGTTGAAGCGATTATCATTTTTGATGAATTCCAACAATAATAGTCCAACTTGAAACTTGACTCAAATGTAAACAATGTCACAAATATAATGAGTTCTGAGGTCACGATTTTACGGACCAAACAAAGCGTTTCGGTTTCCATTTGAATTTATTTCAAATACGAAAAATTTTAAAATTTCCTTTTAGGCTCAAACGTAGGTAATATCATATAAAAAACGCGGAACGACGCGATCGCCATCTGTTGGTTTTATGTGAATACAACATCTCATGAAATTTCAGTTAGCAGTGCCGAAGTTGCAAGATTACAGAATTACAGCAAGATGAGTGTGTACCGCCATCTATTAGGTAGGGTCCGAACCGGTCCGAACTACCAAATTCATGTTTCCTACTTTATCTTCGAAGGATATTGCAACGAAACCAAACCTAATAATCGAAAAATGGCGTCCTTGTGTCAAATTTCAGGTTTTTGTTCGAATGGAGACATTCCAGGAGCTGATATTTTGGTAACGCATTCCTAAATTTTGGTTCAATACAATGAGGTAATTTTATTAAAATCTGAGACACAAAAATTTACAATGTTTACATTTTTCAAAGACCCCTAACTTTTTTCAATGGACGAGTTTTGACTCCGAAAAATACTGATTCCCTAATTTGAACCTTCCTCTTTACGATAATTCAATTAGTTTTGAGATTGAATTCATGACAAGGCCAGAAAGGTCCAATGAAAAAGGGTCTGCTAAACCATTTTAGTGAAACCCTCCTCTTAATATCCCTATACATTTTCGGACCAAAGATCATCAAATTAGATTTTGAAGTATTTATCAGGAGACAGTGATCCGATGCGAGCTTGACGAAAGCATTCAGGTCTGCATTGATCAGAGTGGATGCATCTTCAGATTCATCCAGTGAAAATTTGAAATAAATTTTCTTGTCATCCGCATAGAGATGAACAAAACAGCTATGAAGAGATTGAACTAAACCTGAGGTATATATGATAAAGAGTAAAGGGCCCAAAATGGATCCTTGGTACACCTGAAAACAATTCAACATATTGTGACTCATCATCTCCTATGCGTTTTTGATGTCTGTTTTTCAAATATTCTCCCATTAATGCAATAGCTTTGTCAGAGAGTCCGATATAATGTAGAATTGCTAAAAGCAAATTGAAATTGATGGTGTCAAAAGCACGACTGAAGTCTAGGAGAACTAAATCAGTACAAAGACCTTCTTCTTTAGCTCTGAATATTCCATCAGTTACATTCCAAATGTGGGTGCTCATATTTCAAATATTCAGAGATGACTAGATAATCCACTGTTGTGTTCCAATTAACAGTGCTGCTCCTAAAGTTCCATATAGAGTCAGTATCAAATCCAAGTTACTATGTGCACACAGGTGTTTATGCACAGACCAACAAAGTATATTGTTTTGTACATTGTACTGGGAGATTGTTTATATTTTACTCAATAGCTATCTCAGTTAATATTGGTAGTATTTATTATGGGCATTCAGAATCTAGTACTGGAAAATGCAAAAAAGCATCGTAAACCTAAAAATTTTAAAGTGCCCCCCTTGAGAATGAAACTGACCCATCTTTTCGATTTTTCATATTATTTACAGGAAGGAAAATATTGAGGGTGGGAAGTTTTCTAATTGACACGGCATTTTTCGGAATCTGCTCAACAAAAATAATAAACTAGGGTACCGTTGGAAAGAGAATTGAGTGTTCTTCCCATTTGGGATTCCAAGGGTAATATCTCCCCCTCCTAGGGGCTGAAAATATAAATTTTAAGTGCCCCCTTCAAAATGAAATTGGCCTGTCTTCTCGATTTTTCATATTATTTCCTGGAGGAAAGATATTGTGGGTTGGAAGATTTCAAAATGTATCAAGTATTAGGTGACTACATTACTGGCAAGGCGAACAAGAATCCTCATCGCTGACTTCGAAATGATTTTTTCCCAGTTGTCCATTGTACAGCGATTCGAACGCCATCAACAAGCAAAACGTTCTGGGTGCCGCGCAAGCCGCCAAAGCCGAGGTGGACCCTGCCAGGCTCAAGATCGACCCTTCAGCTGACATTCAAGAACACTTTGATCATCGGAAGAAAGTTTTGCCTAGAGAGGCGCACCTAGATTTGATCAATGCGGTGAGTACTGAGGTGTGGAATCACTATTTAGTCGATTCTCTTTGAAAATACACGGTTTCTATAAATGATCGTATAGTATATAAAGCCAACATTTTTGCGAATTTATTTGCTGGAAATTCCACTCTGGATCCATCGGGAAAACAACCTCCAAACATAACGCCAATTGACAGTCATATGCCCGAGATCACCTTTCGCCAACGTACTATAAGGAAGATTTTATTGGGTCTCAACACCAACAAAGCTTGTGGGTCGCTTGTGGGTCCCGAACTAACTGTTTTCTGCAAGTTGTTCAACTACTCTTACAAATTGGGGATATTCCCGTCCAACTGGAAAATTGTAAGAGTACAACCAGTTCCTAAAAAAGACAAAATTACCCTACCTAGCAACTACAGACCGATCGCACTGCTATCTATTATTTCAAAGATCATGGAGAAAGCTATCAACATCGAGCTCATGAAATATGAAATTACGTCTCACATATATGGCAGCAATCTATTGAAAAAACGGACTACTCGCCAAGCTTCCATCTTATGGCTTGCCTCCCCAGCTATGTTTACTACTAGCTAGTTTTCTCTTAAACAATTCTCTCCATGTAGTGGTCGACGGAGTTTCATCTGACTCTCTTATCATAAATGCTGGTGTTCCACGAGGATCAATTCTAGCACCAACACTATTTCCACTTCATATCAACGATTTGTTGGAAGCAACTTCATATCCAGTACACAGCTTCGCGGATGATACTACCCTCCATACCGCCTTCTCTTCCAGGGCTCCAATTCCAGCCAGGCAAATCAGAAACGAACGAGAAAGAAATGTTGACAATATGGACAATTCTCGAATGGGGATCCAATAACTTGGTAGATTTCAATGCAAACCAAACACAAGCATGCCTTTTCTCTAGAAAAGCCGATCTCACTGTGCCCAACATAAGCTTGTCAGGAGTCACCATACCATTGAAGACATCCATTTCGATGATTGGTATTACTATCAGCAATAATCTTTCTTGGGGAAATCACGTGAGGTCAATTGCTTAAAGTGCATTCCAAAAACTTGGTTTTCTGTTTCGGACCAGGAGCTATTTCACTTCCAGTCAGCTGCTTATGATCTATAAGTCACAGATTCGACCTGTCCTGGAATACTGTTCCCATATTTGGAGAGCAGCATTCAAATATACCCTGAAACTGTTGGATTCTGTCTATAAAAGGGCACTTCGCACTCACTTCTCTGGAACACCGTAGAGAAGTTGGCGATCTGGCTCTATTTTATAAGTATTTTCATGGACGATGCTCTTCTGAAATATCAACAATTATTCCTCCCTTGGCAGTCCCCGCGAGATTAATCCGTCGAGTTGAGGCTTCGCACCCCTTGGTGGTCACTTTTGAGACCTGTAGAACATCTCTTTCCAAAGACTCGTTCATCCAATGAACATCGAGGCTCTGGAACACATTGTCAAGGGAGGTGTTCCCCGAGGCATATAATCTCCAGAAATTCAAGAAGAACACCAATTCCTACCTTATTTCCCTTGGTTCTCACGATGTTCTCTGAACATTACAGGATATCCCTTTTCGTGGGAAACAGAACATGAAAAAAATCACAGAATACCCAACAATCAGAATAGCATCTCTCGCGCGGGAGTGGGTTCGCGCCTTTGAACGGCGCAGGTTGTCGGACATTTTCCTGGGTTACTTGTTTACATGTTTATCGAAGTCTGAGCTGTGGAATGATCGTGTGAAATATTCAGATATTTAAGTAAATACATATTCCATTTTTGCTGTGTTGTGTTGTTTTTTTTGGGTTGTACTGTTCGAATAAGCTTTGGTGCCTACCTATTTTGGTTGTGAATAAGAAGCCAATTATTGATTCTGTATCTGCCTCATCTGTAATTGTAGACATGGGTGCTCAAAAAAAAAGAGATGGTCATGTGTGCGCTGCTATAGTTGCAAAAACAATTCTAAGACTTGGTTTTATTCCTCATCTGATCAGACTCAGTTGAATGAATATACCCTGTATACCTATCGACCAAGCAGAACTGCAATTGAAAACAAAAATCAGTTTAGTTTTTCCAAGGAACAAATCTATCAATTTAAATTTTGAGCAATATTTTTGTTCAAACCAGTCCTACTCAAAGTAAAAGTTAGCTTTTGTAAACTATTTTTCATTGAATTAAGTGTTAGTGTAATTTTGTGAGAATTGAATACATTTTACTGGTATCGATAATTAACACACAAACAAACATTTAGTTAGTACAATCCGGTTATTTCCATTGGAACGGCCCTGCTTGCTAGCCCAAGAACACGGCGGATCACAGAAAACAGATCCTTAAATATCCTTAAAAGGCGCCGACCAGAGAAGCACTTCTGTTTGTTGGGTATTCTGTGGTATGGTACTTCTATTCCTAATTGGAACAGCATAAAAAATATGCAGTATATCAGGGTTGTTCGTTTGAAGATCACCGCAAGTGTCAAATGTATGATTTAATTGTGTTCAAACTGATGAACAGTACTGGTATAAAAACCGCGTGACACCTGCAGTTCTACACAGTAGCCCAATAATCTGAGTCGAATACCGGCTGTTGCAATATGATGAATATTAGCTGTGCTGACTGGAATTCGTTATCTAACGCGGATCGTCATGCCAGAGATGTAGCAATATTTTGAAATAGACTTTACTCAAAAACGATACATCCGATCGATACGGGACAAGAGTACCTTTTTTCTGTGAAAAGGTATGGATTTTCATAATTCGAGATTAAATTGTCGAGAAATATACATACATAATTGTTTTAGTAATATTTAATGTATTCTTACCCTGTATTTGCACTCTTGAATAAAATTTTAAGATAATTTTATTTCCTCTGCGTTGGGCATGGAAAGTTCAGTTCTTGTACCGAATTGCGTCCTTTTATGACGTGGCGTTTCACAAATAATCGAGAAATATCATCTTCAGGAGCTCCCTTTTAGGGGGCAGTAGCCCCCATAAGAAACATTTCTCGACTAATGTTCATTGAAACTTTTCTCTCTTTTCCTCCTATTTTTTGTCGTAAAAGCCGCTGGTGGAGTTTGGCAGGCTAATTTTGGGACACCCTGTATACGATGTACCAATCCTCGCTTGTAGTTACCGCAAATGTATGCCACACACATCACCTCTAGAACCGTTTGATCAATCATAATAGAAGGACGTAGTTATAATTTGACTGGTGGAATTTGCTAGTGTCTTTATCAAATTGGTGAAAGAAATACAACTCCTCCCTCGAATGTTATCCAATATTTTTTTATTTTTTTCATCACTCAAACTATTTCATTTGAAGTAAAATCATTCAAACAAACCGAATTAGATTAAATCACTAGTTCTATGGACTCTTGATTTTATCAATTGGTTTGTTTTCATATTATTGCCCAATAAAAAAAATTTCGTAGGAAATTAAAGAAATTATCCATATAATTTGAAGGACTCGATAATAAAACTAATTGGCGAGGAAATGAGTAATTTTGTAGAATGACATTTTTCTCCGATTGGCAGCAAATATTGATTTTGCTGATACATATAAATCAGCAAAGTATTACTTTTCCTGCCTAGGCAGCAAAGAGGTTACTTTGCTGATTGATATGTGTCAGCAAAATTAATAATCCATAAATCTTTTATAATTTCCTTCATGTTTCATCCGAGACTTCTCCGGCAACAAATTCAACTCTATATTTTTTGCCACCTCCCTTATTTCTGGACGAGTAAGTACTTTCAGGTCGCTATCACTGTCCATTATTAAATAATTTGAATATACCGATATTTTTTCGCACAACTGTCAATTATTATGGACATTTCCATAGCAACCAACCATTCCAACAACTGCGATTTCTATCAAATTTTATTTCAATTGAACACTACAGGAAAAATAAAGAGATTGTGGGAATTGTAATAATTTGCGAATACAATATCCCCCTATATCATTATGAATAATCGGAGAAAAAATTAAATGTTCAACTCGGCAGCAAAGTAGATTGACTGCCTTAGCTGAATTCCTAGACTCGCTACGCTCGGCTATGAATTCAGCCTCGGCAGTCAATCTACTACTTTGCTGCCTAGTTAAACCAATAACTATTTTCTAGTTTGAAGTTGGCTGTTTTTTCGCAAGTCAGGTCGGGACAATCTGGCAAATTAATAAAATGTCCTGTCACAATCATATTATTATAATGATTATATTGATGATGATGAATAATTAGAATACTGTTGGATTTTTTTGTTAACAAATTTATATGATTCACAAAAAAATATTGCAGGCAATAAACCATTTGGTTCCTAACCATGGGCAGCATCATAGGCATCCTCATGGCCATCCCCAAGGGCAGAATCGAGGGCATCCCAATGGGCACCAACATCCACAGGTGAATTTAATTTTATTTGCGTCTGATTTTGCAATATTATACTTGTTGCTATTGGTTGATCCGACTGGCGACTGGAATACTAGGGGTATTCCAAAGCCCTCGTATCTGACTTCGTATATTTACGAAAATGGTATTGTTACGAAACCTCAAACACGGGAACGACCCATGGATAGCAATGTAAACTGTCAGCTTATTCCGAAGCTTCCAGTGCGAAATTGAAAAATTCTAATTCATCATCTGTCTGGGAAACAGAGCTAGAACTGTATGACTGAAAATACAATTTCAATAATTCAAGTCCTTCTCCAAGATTGACACATAGTTCTTGTTCTTATTCTTGCCATTTTTAAAATACCTTTATCCAAATCAAAACTCTCAATACCAGAGATTAGTTAACAAGAATCAGAGGTATTTATATTGTGCTTTATGCTCAGGCCACGCAGCTCAAACAATGAAAATTCGTTAATCATAATTTTGAATAATAACAATAACCCTGACCTCACTACTTGAAACACGGGACAAAATTCTGTCAGAACAGTTTCGTAAGAACGGCAATTTTGTAATCTTACACAAGAAAATGGTAGTGTAAAGTTACGAAGGACCGCGTATCCTAATCGACCAATCAGATTAGTTTGCTGAATACGACGATACGAAAATACGATAATACGAAGCATTATACGAGGACCGGGAATACCCCTACTATGAAATATTTCACGTTTTTGAATATTGCTTGGATAGTTACGATAATTTATATCAGTTACGATAGAAGAGCGGGGTACATCAAAATCACTCGGATTCGGTCTTTCAACCATTTTTCGATGGTATACACGCACCTAGGAGAAATCCCGCATATTTCGTATGGAAAATGGCTTTCGACTAATTTTTCTGAAAATTTTGTACATTTTAGATATTGGTGTCCATTCCAATTTAAAGATCGATCCTATGACTAGTCTTTAACCAATTTTCGGTGAGGTGAAGAATTTACATTGACTTACATACCCTAGGAGGGAAGCAGTAGAGAAAATATTGAAGAACCTCATAAGAAGGAGAACAATCAATGCTTATTTCATGAAATGGAAACCAATCAATCTTCACATCAATTTTTCTCACATAAAATAGGTTGAGGTGGGAGAAATAAAAGATAATGGCAATATACACATTGACCTTAACTTAGAAGAGAAGTAAATGGAAGAAAACGATTAAAAATATCTCAAAAACTCAAAACCAGTCAATTCCTCACGTTGATTTCCTCACAGAAAATATGTTGAAATTAGAGAGAAAGAATGACATTTTGATTGAGCTATTCAATGAGGTGTCACAAGTAGATATCTGTAAGGAAGTTGAAGGGTGGGTTATTCTTTGAGAAATATTTTACTATGATGCATCAGTTGAGTTTTTGAATTGTCACCTTTGAAAAGGAATATTCTCAGATAAAATCATGAACAAAAAACAATATAAAGAAATACATTGAGAATTCGCATTCATTATGTGGAAAATATCAATTCTTTCTCGGTTTATTCAACAGAAAATTGAATACTATCTATTGAACACACACGATAAAAATTTGAAAACAAAATCTTCTGAAGTTGACCATATGTATTCTCCTCCAGATAAAAATATGTATATGCATATAATTTCATTCTGAATATTCAAAACAGAAAACAACTACTTTCTCAATACAGAATTTTTTTCCACGTCCTGTATGATGAATACCAATTTGTCATACATCCAAGAACAAATGTCATCACCTTGTTTTTGGCAAACCATACATTTCTACCGTCTTCTGATAACGAAATGATATATGCTCTAAAGGAAAGTGAAAACATTGTAGTTCATATATATATATATATATATATATACCTCAGCATGGAGGGTGAGGGTAAAGATCACCGAACTCATGTCTCGACAGAAGCTTGTAAAAAGTGTTTGAAACTTGCCAAAAGTGGCCTAACTTGTATACAGTGTGGTACAATGTCCATAATAGTTGTGTTAATTCAATGAAAAATGTGACTGTGGTTAGTAAAAGTGAAAAAACAATCATTTGTTGTGAATCAATTAATGTTGATCTTGACACGACCTTCAGCAGCGCTATAGATGAAATATCAATTTTTATTACTGAACAGATTTCGATGAAACTGTGATCAGTAATATTTCAAGACATCCTGAATCCAGTGGAGTATACAGAATTTTCATAAAATTCCTGAACATGAATTATTGGTGTGTTGATTAAACGGCATATTTTTCAAATTTCATTCCTTTATAACTTTTTTATTGATTGACGCATTTCAACGTAATTTACATGTTACCCATTTGAAAATGTCACAAATCCAGTGGTGTAGTCAGATTTTTTCTAAAAAAATCTCTAGTAATTTTTTAGATTTTTGACCTTGAAAAATCAGATTAGTTGGCCCTGGAAATGGAGATTTATTCATGATATTTGGTGTCCTAATAAACTTTTTGAATATCTACCTAACAAAAAAAAATCATTCCAATCGGTTGAAAAATGTAAGTTTTATAAGGGTGCTTCCATCTTAAATGGGTCACACTGTATATCATTTCGTTATCAGATGACGGTGGAAATTTGCAGTCGGCTCTTGGACTAACAGGCGAGCAATCATATTTCTCTTGTTGATTATGAAGATCCATTGTGTGTCAAAACTATATTTATTTGTATTTGTCCATTTCCATGAATATTATGTTTTCTGTGACGGGAAAAAAGTTTGGCATTTCATCTTTGTTGGCAGGTTATAAAATGTCACTTTTCATAAATTACTTTTTTCCCGTGGAAAAAAAGTGTGTACTTCTTTCCCGGATATATATCACATATGTATACACTGTTGATGGCTTTTGTTGTGCTATAGTTCCGAAAAATGAGTCAATAATACCGTCTCCGAGAAAGAACTGCAAGTCCTTTTATCTTCCGTTCGACTTCGCAGTTACGTATATTACTGAACAACCACTAAATTCGCAATTTTTTGAAATCAAATCACAGAATTAGACTGACAGAAGTGACATCAGATATTTGATTACTTCAAAAGAATGATAACGATGCCTACAACGCAGGTGTCCCTACTGTTAAAAACTTAAAATTTCACGTCGTTAATTTTCAGATTTCAAAATGATGTAATATCTTCTCAATATTGATTCGTACTTTCTTCTGTCACAGAAAAAAATACACGGGAAAAATATTAGATTTTAGCACACGGTTTGTTGTCTCCCTCCGCTACCTGGAGCTAAGATCTACTTCTTTTTTCCCTTGTATAATGAATAACTATTTCCTCCTTCAGGAGAAAAAACAATCCCTATCTCTTTTTTCCTATTCTTAGGTACGCACGACATTCCTCGTTCGTATTCAATCGCTCTTGGAGATTAGAAAGTTGTTTGACCCATTTTACTTTTAGAGATTGTTGCATCCCGTCTATGTCATCTTTCCTAGTCGTAAAGACAACATTTTTCTCACTTTACACATAGCTTTTATTTCAAACTTCAATTTGGGTATCATTGTCTTCCAACTGGAATCGTTATACTCTCAACATGATCATGAAGGCTAATATTCATCCTACATATGTCAGTGTTCTTGTTGGTGTAGGACAACGAACATAGATCCCGTAAACTTTTAAAAACTGCATGTGCTTGTTAGTGCGATGACCTGCTTTTGTTGTGCTTTTGCATTTTTGCTGTAGTGTAGTGTAGTGCAACTGCTTCAATAAATTCTAAGAAACCCATGCAGCAGGATAAGTAAATGTTTCTAAAACTCATCATAAGCATACATATATTCAAATGATTTATGATTCTTTGAAGGTTTATTCAGCCCTTCACAATTCCACTTTGGCCTACACATAAGAATAGAATATCATTATTCCAAAGTATCATCACTTATTTGAAAATATGTATGCTAAATCCTAACAAAATGTATTCTAATTTTTTTCTCAGCAGATCATGACGATATTGGACGAATGAAATTTGGAGCACTAATCAGTGTCTGCTTGATGGGAGTTTTGAAGAAAAAGATACAAATCGAATTTAAATCACTACAATTTGTTGCAGGCAATGAATATGGCCTACAGACATCGTACGTTACATAGAAACAGGAATCGTCATCATAGGCAAAGAGAAGAGGTGAATTTACATTATTTACATCTGAAATAATTTTGGCTGACATTTTCAGTCTCATCAGTTAGCGTCAGTCTTCCGTTTTTGAATCTGGATATGGTAGTTAACACGCAATTTTAACATTAACCTGTAGCTAGGCGTTGCTCTCCATATACAGTACTCAACACACTAAATGGACCTCTCATAATTTGACTCTGTTTCGAAGACCTGTATTTTTTGAAAAAATTTACCGATCTTCATGCGGTTTTCGATATCAGATGTGATATTTCATCGTCTTCAAAGAGAGCTAGAACACTCTGAAAAAGTCCGCAGAACAAAACTTACACAGGGTGTAAAGTGGAACCATTACACTATGGTCTACATTTCCAATGCTGCCAGAACTCGATCAAAAGTTAATCATATTATGATACATTAGGGCCGATTGCATGAAAGCTCATCAATTATTTGATGTCACTTCAAATATTTGATGCGACGTTATAAATGGAATTCGATTGCATGAAAGGCCCATCATGTACTTAATGGCATGGTTACTTAATCATCTGATTAACTTATAATAATGACTATTTAACTGAAAAATCGATTGCACAAAGGCCAATCAACTTTAGATGTCACATCAAATCGACTTATTCATAGCATCAACTTAATTAGTGCTCGACCACTGATTAAAGTGACATCCAGCAAATTACTTGTGAGAATTCCGCCAAATTATTTAGAATATTTCGCAGAACTTTTCTTCTTCTTAGTTCTTGTTTCATTTCGAAAAGGTAGAGTAGATAAATGAACACAATAATGTAAGTGAATGACAATTATAGGTTCAACAGAAAATGTCTATCTCATCACTGGCTTCAATATCTGAAGAAGAACTACTGATTTCCAAGTCAAGAACCTTTCGAAATAGAAACAATCCGTTCAAAATGTATGATGGCAATGATTTCAATACCCGA